AATCTGTCTTCATTATCTGCCGAACGCCTCTGGACGTCGAATTATGAGCGTTTTTTCAGTTGAAAAATTGAATTCATAATTGGAACAATTTCTCAGAATTGCTCAAATTGTCTAGTGTGCACTGCATTTGAAGAATACCTTCTGTCCAAAACACTCATATCCAATACAGTCTTGTTCGAGAGCTGGAAAGACCATAAAAGTTAATTTTACTCAAATTATGCGTTCATTTCGCACTAAGAAAACATTCATAATTCGCATGCAGAGGCGCTCGGCAGATAGTGAAATCAGATTTGGAATCAGCGTTTGATGCTCTCCAAAGTGGCATAAGTTTCATTAGGAAAGGCCACTTCGACTATTCGGGCCTCCCTTGTGAGATACCTAGAAGCTTTCTCAGATGGAAGAAACTCACAGTGGACATTCCCAGGATGGGGGAGTACGTAGAGGTGGTGATTGACCCCGCATATAAAACTATCTTTTGCATTGGAAAAATTCAAATTGGCAAAGTGAAGATTGCGTAAATGTGCATTCCAGATTTGTTCGTTATTTCCTAATTCTCAAAGCTAAGCATATCCTAATTGTCATTTGAAGTGCTTATGAATATGTATGTAATCTAAAAATCAGCTTACTAGGTGAATTGTAAATTTATTAGAATGATTATGTCGAAATGAATGAATTATAACAGCCGATCAAGTGCGAAAAGGTTATCCATGGTATTTTCAGGGATTTTTCATTAAGTGAATCGCAGATTTTAAGAAGGAATCAAGTAGTTAGAGCATGTTGCTGCTCATATTCCTATTTTTTTTTTGTTTCGAATGAGCCACATCTGCGCGGGCAAATATGATGAAGCTTACTTGTAAAATAATTATGGAAAATTTTTCATTTCAATTAATAAGCATTCTATAAACAATTTTTGCGTTGAGCAATGGGTGAGGAGTTACATCACCCGAAACCTGCGGCCATGTATTTGCGATCACGAGAGGATCTGCATCGAAGATGAGCTGATTCTACTCGTGGTAACTACGTCCTCATCCTACTATATGAAACCGGAATTTGAAAGGAATTTTGAATTCAAATCAGCAGCGATATTCTTCCAATTGGGGTCAAAATCTGCATTTAGGGGTATACTGTCTGATGTTTCCATAGGTGGTGGCTCTTAGAAACTGACTTTTTTCTTTGTATTTATACAATCAAAATTCTCAGAAAATATCTTAAAATTGCTATTCAACAGTTTTTCATGCTGCTGATTCAATTTGGAATCGTTTTCTCATGAATTCTAATTTTTCATGAATTTGTGTTTCGAATAAGTTGAAAAGCAAACAGAAAAGTCTATTACGTGCAGCCAATCCTAATCCGACTAAGTCATCGTGTTCTGTTGATGATTTAGACCAAAAATGAAAAATAAATTACAAATAAATTACAAAAGTTGCGCAAGTCTGAAACGGGTACTTTACTGCTGTTACAAAGGGATGCTTTTCTGCACCACTTCGTCCTAGCGCTAATTACTCTGCCCCAGAATAGCGCTAATAACTCCTTTCTTACAAATCAACAAGATTTTCAAGTATTTCAAAGTGTATCAAAGCAAGTAAGCTCACATTATCAAACAATAATAGGAAGGACGTTTCATTTACGAAGAAAAGAACGTGTAAAGGTGAGATTTTCACTCCTTAACTTATAATTTTATTTCTCTTCCTACTTCTCCAAATCTGCACGTTTAAGCTTTGAAATCTATTTAACCACCCAAGTGTAATACTTTTTTGACTCTCATGAAAGTCTCGAGACCTTCTCTTCTTTAAATCTTCTCTCTGAGAAAGTGCTCTTCAGTACCTCCAAATCAGAGCGCCTGCCTCCAACGACAGTTCAGCTCTCTCGCGGTAGCGCCGACCATCGGCGCGCAGTAAGGAGGCTGTTACGCTAGTGATGTAGAGGGGCCGCCTCCCATCTGAAACCAGCTTTGAGATGGAGGAAATCCGCTGACTCCAGAAAGGCCAGCCACTAATCAAAGTATAACTTTTTATAATACAGACCACAAAATAAGTTTTCGCACAGGGCTCGGCACGAGATGGCTGGTTGAAAATGCAAAAAACGAAGTCCGCTTTGGCCCCTCACCATGATCCCTAAAGAATCCCCAAAAAACGAAACGTCGACTAAAATAAAGTCGCAATTTTTGTGTCTTTTCGGTTTCAAAAACGAAACCCCATTGGTATCCAGCTTGCTTACAAGCAACCTGTGCCGAGCCCTGTTCGCAGTTGAAGTGATAAACTTGAAATTTTAAAATAGAAGAATTTCAAAGTTTCTAGAAGAACCACCATCATATTAAAAAAGCATCAGGGAAATCCCATTATGAAAAACTTGGAAATTTTGCCGGAAATTACGTGGAAAAGGTTGAAAATCCAAAAGAAAAACATTTCGGAGTTTCTAGAAAACCACTACCGTATTCGAAAATCATGAAATAGCCCTGAAAACAAGTGCGCACACCCTCGGACGAGAATTGCTGGTGAATATTGAGTTCGACATTTTGATAAAATCCCGGTTCCATGTTCACTGTGGTGTTTAAGCGTACTTACTGTGAGCATAATCAGCTTGTCTTCGGTGTAAATTGGCTACAAATCAGCGTTGCTGACAGTTCACGACCTCTCATGGTCTCTGCAAATAGAACTTCAAAAAAAGTTGGAAACAATATTACTGACAATGTGGCTTTCAAGGGAATTTGGCGGCCAAAGATTGGAAAAAGGGGTCTGGGATATCAAGTGCGTACGCGTGAACTAGCTCGTGTGTTGCTTGAAAAAATGTCCAAGTGTGTTCTCAAATGCGGAAACTTTTCATGATGGCATAGATAGAATTGACGTGCATGTATGATAGGTGGGGAGGGGGGGGGGGGGAGGAGGAACGTGAGTTATTGTTAGTTGATACACATGCCCCGTATGTGCCCATTCGGTGTTGGCAATCTATAAGAAAGCCGATTACCACTCATGGCAGGGAACTCAATTGGTGATAAATCGGAAGGAAGGCGAAATTTTTTAAGTCACATTGTGATTGCATACTTTGTACTTACTTTCTGATTGAACGCTGCTGGAGCGCACTGTTATTCTGACCAAAAAGGACTTGGAAATCTTGGAATTTCAATTCCAAGCTTCTATTGTCAATTATTAGGCCGTTCCATAAGTTCGTAGCGTTTTCATTTTCGTCCTCATATCTTTGAGGAGCGGTTGATTTGCGGCAAAATGCGTATAACATTTGGAAGGGCTGATTGTGCTCTTTGAAATAAGTCTTTTGATTTCGGTGGAAAACTAATTCACTCGGGTCTCGTAGCTTCCAAAGATGGATCTTGAAAGACAAAAAGGAGCAATTTCGGCATTTGCACATTTTTCCTCATGAAAAGAAGCGCTTTTGCACAGATTTTTGTGCCGATTATGGAACATAGGGCTCGCTCATCAATATGGGACAAAAAGCTTTGGATAGCTAAAAAGATCAGGGGCTGAGCAGGGTGTCCCTGAACCAAGACTTTTCGGGAGACGGGCAGGACGTCTTGCACTGAAAATTGCTGTACAAGTAGGCAATGGTCAACCATACCGTAAGCAATCCAACGGCACCGTCTAAACCAGGTCCCACCGCAGTAAAAACCCAACAGACAGATCCAGTGAGCTTTTCTGCATGGCGAAACATGGCCTCGTACGGCAAACGTCGTCAAAACTGTCCTGCTCGATTTGACTGGAAGGTACTTCAATACCCAAAGTACTCCCCAAACCTCGCTCTATCAGTTTATTATTTGCTCCGCTCTTTAGCAACCCTCATAAATGGTGCCCGTTTTGATTTCAGTGAGTAGTTTGAGCGCTGATTAGATGACTTTCTTGGGACCCGGTGCGCTGCCGTTTGAAAAATTGAGGTTGGGAAGCGAACAAGAATGGCCAAAAGGTCGTGGCTACAACGAGGAATATAATTTTCATTGATTTTTACTGTAAACTGATTCGTTGGTTTATATAAACGCTATGAACTTATGTGGCGTAGTGGTATGAGGCACTGCTATGGCCAGATCGGACCCAGTTTCGATACCGCCCCTAGACCAACTAAACTTTCTTTGATAATTCGATACCTGAGTAATCCGGGAAGATAAAAGCACTAACTTGGTAATCGGCTGGCTCCCACAATTTACTGTAAAAGGCTTGCACGTATTCTTGTTGACTATACAGTATAGGCGATCGGCGCAGCCTGCAGAGGGTCAAGAAACCGAATCCTTCCTTATTTTTATACTATAGGTTATTAGCAGAACACCTACAGGAAAAATTGATAAGGGAAGGCTGCTAACAAAGGAAGGCCGCTTGATCGAAGTGGCGATTCGGAAAATGATGTATACCAACGGATAGAGCTTTGAACGATGATCTTCTTGGACTAATCAATTTATATAGACTTTCAAATCTCAAGTTAACTCAGTCGTTTTACCAGTGATCTTCCTTTATTTCGAAACAATTTTCACAAAACACTTTCAGCACCCACTTCTATACAGACTCCAACTTCATTTATTCACTTTAGTTCACTTAATTTTATCTGGCTCCCTTCATCCACATTGTGAAATGCTGCAAACTTTATCCACAATATCGTCCCAGACGAATTTTTCTCTCCTGCGTTTTTTTATCCTTTCAGGATGAAGATCACTGAAATTGTAGCTCTGAGTATCTAGGAATAAGATATACTCACACTTTATGAAGGGTTTATTGCTTAAATTCATCTATCCGAGTGCGTTGCGTCACGCTTCGTCTGGACCATTGTCTAAAAAGAACTAATAAGAAGGAAAGTTTGGTGACATAAAAAAGAGATATAAAACTACAGATCCTTCCAGAACTTCGATGAAGACGAGTTTGTCGAAAACATAGAATAAAAGTTTCACCAAACCAACAAGTTAAAAGTAAGAATAGAGAATTTAAAGTAGAAGAGAGTCCTATCGATATTCAAAATGGATGCTGTGTTAACGTTTCAATGCTGTGAATATCAATATCACATTTCGTATGCTGTATGTAACAGATTTTTGGGTAGCTTTGCTGCTGGCAAATACCAGTAACAAAAATGATACCAGGTGAGTAATTTCCGCAACAATTCGGATAGTGCTTTCACTTCTAGACATAGAGCAACTTGCTCGCATTTTCCATTTTTTTCCCTACGAAAACGAAGTATTACCCTCTGATCAACAAGATTGACGGTTTGAAGGCGACCGCTCGCGCTCGTGACGCAGTCTGCGTCACTGTCGCGAAAGTGCTCTTTGATCATTCTCTAGCCCTAATTAGGTCGCGGAGCCCCGACTTCCAGTTGAATGAAAGGGTAGATTGGCTAGTGAATAACTTCGTTCTGACATGCAAATACGAACTCTATAACAAATCAAACAGTTGTTATTTAGTTGACGATTCCTGTAAAAGATCTCCACTATCACACATCAACTATTCAAGTTTCTGTTAGTAGCAAATGTAAATATGTTTTTATATGGCTGGCCTCTTGAAGAGGACTTCTCAGTCACTTTGAGTTTTGTTTTCACTGTATGAATGCATGGACGTGTTATTGTTGATTGGTCACATACATCGCAGGCTACATGGCAAAAAAAAGATATTGCGCTGCAGTTTTGCGAATTTCCTGACATTTTGCTCGGAAGTCGAAGCCGTCTAGATCACTTGATGACCTTTTGGACCACGCAAGTGGTTGAAGATCATTGTGTGAAATTTTTAACTAAACAGCTTGGATTATTCTTTTTAACAATACCACATTCGTTCAGAAGTTTGTCTGTAACAATTTTGCAAATCGTCGAACACGACCGAAACTATATTTCAGCTACGGCATTACCATCAGTCTCTGCTGGATCATTCAGGCAGCATAGATTACATGCTATTCATCTTTTGAAAGCGATGTTTTCATATGGGACTACAGACGCGACTCACAACATAGATTACCAAACCACAAATATCAGCAAGCACTGGCATCATTCAATGATATCCACATATTCTATCACCTTTACCTACTAGAAATGCGAACTTTTCCTCTCATGTACTCCCTTGGAGGAATCAACCTCATATTGGGTAAGCGTGAACTACTTGAGGCACTCTCTTATCCTCACATTGATAAAAGATAAATCTGAACCAGCTTTATTTCGTAAATGATTGCCTTCTTCAACCCGGTAGCCTTGAAACGATTTAAAGGCAGTGGCTCGGCAAATCACAACCTAGTCAAATTTGCGCTTACCTGAGGTTTTTTCAATACGCTGATCCCGAAAATTCACTTTTGAAAGCGTGAAAACGGCGAAAATAAGCGTTTTTCAATGCCATTCCCTTTGGAATTGGACGAGTGGAGCAAGGCCGATGACGCTAAATCGTTGCAGGACTCATGGTTATAGCGTGGTGGCGGGCAGCCTCCAATGGTGAGAAGGACATTGCCAACTCGTCCAGATGCGTGTAAGATTGGCCTGCGCGTGTAAGTTCGAGAGCGATTTTCTCGGCAGGGAAAGCATGCTGTGCAACCGGGATTGCACTGTTTTCATAGATGGGCGATAAGGAATCTACCGCGTTAAAATCCCGAGCTGTTGGATTTTGCCGATCCACTGCCTTTAAAGAATCGACGGAAATGGCAGCAGAGAGACGTTAACCTGACCAGAGAAAGGTTCACGCTTTGGTTTCGGTTGTAGAAGACAACTACATACAAAACTACACCAAGATTCATAAACAATCAGTGGAGTCTTATCAACTTTGCTTTGTTTGCGCACAGTGTAATATCGTGCTCGGACCCAAAAAAAACGATCGAAGAGCCTCTTCACCAACTAAAAAACGTCTCGCAAAGCGTTAAAGTGTTGCAAAGCAGTTTCTTCTTCGAGATGGAAGGTATTAAAAGGCGATAAGTCAACATAGATTATACCCTTGCGACTGAGATAAATAGACAGTAAAGAGAATGATAACTTCATACGTCCGCTTTTGCATTCACATTCTGCAATGACTTCCTATCTTGTGACGAAGACACTACCTAATCTCACTCCGATTTGTTTATATGAACTTTGGCACAAATAATCTGCCATATGGACGAACATTGGCAAAATATCGGTCAGCCCTGGACCAATGTTTTGACGGCGTTCATCCTTTCGTTTGCCGGAGAAGCCGACTCCAAGACCTCAGACATATTCTACGCGATTCGGCCGCAACGCGATTTGGCGATTTGCCAGATATTCAAAAGAAACACCTACAAATGTATAGTGTGTATAACTTTCGCATAATAAATGTCCTATCTTCTCTACACTCATAATGTGCTTACGATACTCATAAGCAACTGGAGTATTCCAAAACAGCTCTAACGTTTTGCGCGTAAGGATCTCTGGCTCCGACAACAAGATCTTTACAGTAACTTGTATTTCAGCCTTGACATAGCGGGTGTACCAAATGGCGCAGCTGTTTTTGATTTATTCGAACCCTCTATGTGCCTTTTAACTCGACATGCCTGTTTCGCCAATGTGACCTTTGATTCAACTGCCTTGGCGGCTGGAAGGTGTGTTTGTGACTTGATTAAAGGCATTGTCCAGGTCAAGTGGGGGGTTTTGAGAGCTTGACACAATGTGAGAGCATGGCTCTTGACTAACGCAGCAGTTCAAGTCCGATCGAAGAAGGTGAAATCTAAAGCGAAAAAACTGCTTCGAAAAAAAAGGCGGTACTCCAATTCCGCCCCCTTGACAAGTTTTGACGTGGCCAATTCAGTATAGGGTATTCGAAAAATCGTGAGGATGGCGCGACCGCGCGCGACACGCACGCACCTTCCGGCAACCGCATTTTCCTGTTATTACTCTCCACTCTACTGGTTTTTCTGCTTGAATATGATAGTACTGAGACACTGAAAGTGACTAGCTGAGCGCTGAGGTGATGCTTTTTTGCATGAGGGGTTATGCTCCCACGGGCGCAAGAACCGCAGTCAAATCCGTCGTCACCATTTTATAAATGAACCTTACATCTAGAGCATTCGCGGCGTCAAAGGGGTCGGAGTACCGCCCCTTCTTCCCGAAGCAATTTTCTCGCTTCAGATTCCACGTTTTTCGTTCGGACTTGAACTGTTGGTTAGTCAGGAGCCGTGCACTCACAATGTGTCAAGATCACAATACCCCCTAGTTGAACCTGAGCAATGCTTCTAAAGCCGCTCGCGCGCGCTACGCGGTCTGCGTCTCTCTCGCGAAAGTGCTCTCTGATCACTGTCTAGCTTTAACTAGGTCAAGAAGCCCCGCCATCTAGCCGCCAAGCCAGTTGAATCAGAGTGTAAGTTTCACCGAGCATAACTGGAGTATTGACAAATAGCGCCTGGATACGAATCATAATAATCTGAATTTGCGTGAATATCAATGAATTGCCATTTCGCTTAGTGTTAGCAAAGCACGAAAAGGTTCAAAATATTACTGAATCACCAAATCGTATTAATCCTCGTTTCCGCTCAATATAGCCGCCGAACGTCTATCGCTCCGTCAGACTTGTTGTATAATCCGTAACAATGAAGAACCTGCTCGTAACAGTCTGGCCATTTTTCAGGAACTGGCACTGAACATTGTTGATAAAGAGAGCGTAGTGAATAGGATATGCTGGTGTCTGCTTGCAAATCCATTGTTACGGAGAGCAAAACCTCTAGCGATGACTCAGCAGCGCAGCCATTTCGAAAGTGTGTGTGCTATACGGAAAGAGAGTGTGCGAGAGAAGGAAAGGGGGGGGGGGTTCACACGGGGCGAACGAGCAGTGAGTGTGACGGCCTTTGCGAACGCGCGAGCACTTTCACTTTCTTTCCGGCGATTTTTCTCATATTTTAAAGCTCTTTTATCGCTTTATTTCTGTAAAATTGCGTACTATTCGCTTTGTTTTTGAATTTCCTATCCGTACAGGCTCTTTTAGTGCACAAAACTCTTCATCATTTCCAAGAAAATCGATGCAGCCTGTGTAAATAGTGTGAAACACCAAATGCACTCATTGCTGTCGTACATAAATATTGCGAAAGGAGATTCTGGTAGTCATTTTCCTGAGAATCTCTTGACAGAAGCGCCTACCAGCATGTCGGAACAACTTTTTCTAATCTACCCTTTCGCTTGCATTCGTCGCTATAGTAACTAGCATAAGACATAGCTAAATCTCATTTACAGGATGGTTTTCGAAAAGATCGGTGATTCCCACAAAGGTTTAGTCCCAGAAAATTGTCAATATGATCATGCACTCGTGGCCGGCGATAAGATTTGGGTTTTTGGAAGGAGATGTAAGGAATTTTTTAAAAATTTTGCTGAAAAAAATTAACGGTGATTTTAGACGAGGATCAAAAATCGTTCAATTGGGGTCATCGTGTAGCATACGTTGGAACTTACGCAATTGCTTTCAACATAGCTGAAAACAAATGGGAGGACGCTAAGCCTGTGAGTTCTTTTTAGAAATTTTTGAAAATTATAAAAATATCGAACGGGCGCAATTCATAATCCACGCAATTTGATATCTGCTGAACATTAAAAATATAAACTAGTATACAAATGATAAATATAATATTTATCAAACAATATAAAAATAAAAATAATTGATATAAATAATGAAAACATTTGTGAATTTTTAACTTTTGCCAAAATCTCGCTAGTTTTCGCAAAAAAAAAAAACAAAGAATGCTTGGCGATTTGTTTCTGTATAATTGTGCCAATAAATGAAGGCAGTCTCTTTCATTTTCTGCTAACATTCTCCATTATGTTCAATGAACTGGATGTTTCACACTATCGCATCTGGTTACCTATTAATCCAGCTTAACTTATGTATTCCTCTTTGAATCCGTTGAAATTCGGATTAGTCATACTTCTTGTCGTCTGCAGCGCTTTGCAAACCCAAATTGTTTGCGCTATCCGGTTGTCGAGATAGAATGTCACAATCTAAAATTTCAAACAAGGTTTCTCCGCACAAGAAAGGGCCGGGGGGGGGGGGGGAGGGAATATTTAAGTACTACGACGAATATCAATTTTGCTTGATATTTTTTGTCGAAAAGACCTTAGGAGATTTTAGCGAAGAGGCGCGGTCAACCGTACGATTTGGCCATAATTTGGAATTAAAGTAGTAATAACTTAGAAATTGATTTTGGCGGAATTGGAATTCGGTCTCAATGGGATTATTCGGCACGCTTATTCCGAAAAGGATACTCTGTCCGATCCTAGGACCATGTAAGGTCATCATGTGAATCTACGAGACAAATTCCCGAAATTTACTAATTCGGCAAGGAAGGTGATCTATTAGTTATTTACTAGTAACATATCCACCTCCCCAAAGCACTCATCTTGGCGTTTTTGTAAATGTACAATATGAGACCTTTTACCTACAAATTCTCGGCATGTCTGGGTGGTATCACTGGCAAAAATAACTTTTACGCAAAATTTCAGCAAATTCGATTTTTTACTGAACAATGTTCGCACTTGAAAAAAAGCCTAGCAATCGAGTGCTCTTGGACTTTTTTTTATCATAATAAGCTTGCAAATGAAGATTTAACTTATTCAATGACATGAGCAAAAGCACAGTGCAAATTTTGACATGTCATATCCTCACTGCAATTTTACGAATCATTCTCATTCGAATGATATATTCGAGTAATCGAATTTTCATTCGAATGGAATCCTTCGTTTATTTTTCTAACGTTTTCCCTTCGTTTTTGTTCACGTTCGCTGCTAGATCTCTCTTTTTTTGCATTTAACATCAGAAAATCTCGTCTAACAACTTGGAGGTATATGTTTCACCAAGAGCTGTAGTATCGTAACGCATTCTTACCGCTCCCTTCTCTCCATGTAGAGAAGCTAAACTCGTTTGTGCAAGCATCGTTGGTTCAGTGGTAGAATGCTCGCATGCCACGCGGGCGGCCCGGGTTCGATTCCCGGCCGATGCAATCTTTTCTTTCTATGCTTGGAAAATTGCGCGTCATGCTGGAAACGCAGTACAATTACTAAACACCTCATTCAACTTTTCTGACTACTCGTAGGAAATCTTTCGAAAAAAAAACTGACTTTTGCAACACTAAACTCCGGAAACCTTATGTGCTAATTGCTCTCGTGAAAAATTACAAGGGAAATATAAAACCAGCACAGCAGGAAATTGTCGCATGAAATATCATCCGTATTAGACATGGACAAGATTACGTAGAAAGCTTTTCTTTATCTCGATTTGTGAAAGCAGCACACGTCTAGATTTTTGAATCTTGGGCTTTGCTAAGACTGCGCATAGGCAATCGAAAACCTGATTTTTAGCGTTCCTGGCGATTAGAATTAGTGTGAATATGCGGTTCAAGGGGTTTAAAAACCTGCAACTATCAAAGCTTTGGGAAGAGGGGCACTATCTTGCTAATTGTTCTTGAAAACCTAGGCTTTTGATTTGGCATGAAAAGCAGTGGGGGTTATGTGAATTTGAGGTTTATGATCTAGATTGTCTGGTACACAGTAGCCGAGTAATACGTTTTTTTCGAAATCCTTCATTTTTCTCAAATATAACCCATGATGAGCTTTATCATGGTCTATATCCTCAAACAAAGTATGATGGTGAGTTGCTGGCGAATTTGGCATCCAAAATCAAATCTCGTGCGCAGATTCTTAAATACTGTCTTCTAATTTGTTATTCCATTGAAACTCAACTAATATTATAATTTTAAGTTCCCCGCCGTATCAACGGAACAAAATCTTGATGAAAATTTCTTCGTTCACAATGGAACTCCCTACATGCTGCTCTATGCCGCATTTGGTAGTATTTCGCTGAAATCTCTTTACAAATGGAACGGAACTTCATTTGAACCTGTGAATTTGCAGGTATGTTTAGTCTTCGCAATAGCCAGGTATTCCTTTACTTTTCAGGGTTTCGATCCCATTTCTGGTTCGGAAAAGTCGGTCAACGTCAATCTAGAGATTGCTGATAGTCAGGACGATAACATAAAATATATAATAACTACAATGGAACATCGAATGAGAGTGGCCCGTTTGACTTTCAGTGGCAATGGCGCCAAAGCTGAACATCTTTTCGACATAGCACTAGATGATGGAGAATTAGCCGTACGTGCTCTTCGAGCTAATTTTTCTTCTATTCTTACGAAATGTGTATATTCAGCTGGCAATGGCTACATCAGCCGTTGTTACTGGCTCACGATTGCTTGTTTCCTATGGAGTCACTGGTTGTGGATTCCGATGGACAGCTGAAGGAATTGTTGCCTGTGATTTGAATTCAAAGAACTGCGAAAAGCTAGATGTTCGTCTTTTTTTGTTTTTTTTTTGAAATTATTGTTTAGCAACAACATATGAATCGTCTTCCAGATCAATTCCGATCCAAAACCACACTGGGGTTTCAGTGGTGCTCACAGTCACGCTCTATTGCCTTCTGGTTCCTGGATTCATGCCGCTGGGGACATTCCACAGGGTAAATCCAACGTATTTGGTATCAAGAGCTACTTTACATAACTGGTCCAAAATCTTAAGATCGTAAATTTTGTAAAAACTTACACAGGGGAATTATCTGACATGAACATTGTTTCAAGTCCACACGGTAGCGTCTGTGCTTACGGGGGGCATACGGTAGGCAAGAGGAGATTTGAGTTTGCTCGAAATTTTCCAGAAATTCATTACTCTACCAGTTAGAAGAATAGAAAGAAACCCTGTACATCGGATCCCGCCTACGGCGCCGGGTGGTAGCAAGACTGATGTCAGGGTCCTCAGGGCGCCTTTTGGATTGGACAAAAACGACACGTCTGCCCGGACGACACGCCACGGAGACTGCCTCATGCTCTGCACCTACAACGCCAGGACAGTCTCCACAAACGCCGACCTCCACGCTCTTCTCGACGCTGCAGAGCACATCAAGTACCACATCATCGCTCTGCAGGAAACGAAGTCCAGGAAGAAGGACGTGCGACAGATGAATGATGGAACACTCATCATTCGTGGTGAGAAGGTTCCATCACGAAACGTGGGAGGTGTTGGCTTTGTCGTCCACCCATCTATCGTCCATCTTGTCGATTCGCACGAGATCCTATCACCCCGACTAGCCATCCTACGACTACGCCCTCCACGTCAGAAGACCATCAGCATCATCAACTGCTACTCTCCAACATCAGCAGCTGACGACTCAGAACTAGATGCTTTCTACGAAGACGTGGAGGAGGTCGTCCGCAACGAAAAGTCCTTCTACAAGTATGTTGTGGGCGACTTCAATGCGAAAATCGGGATGCCACTAGAAAAGGAATATAGGATCGGGAAGTTTGGATATGGGCTCCGGAACGAAAACGGCAACCGTCTTGTTGGGCTTCTCTCCGCCGCACGACTTTTCCATGGAAATTCCATCTTCATGAAGAAAGAACATCGCCGGTGGACATGGGAATCGCCCAACGGAACGACTCACGCGGAGATCGACCACATTCTCGCCAACCGAAGGTGGAGCTTGCTCGATGTCTCAGTAGTTCCATCCTTCTGCAGTGGCTCCGATCACCGCCTCCTTCGAGCGAAGATACGACTCAGCCGAAGGCTGGAAAAGAAAGTCTGTCACAGTGCCGCGAGAAGGAAGGAAGCTGTTTACGACGGTAACAGGCTGGAGGAGCTCATATCAAGATGTGACTGGCCCATCGAGGAGGACCCAACGTACGACTACGACCGGCTTCTGAAAGGATTGCGAGCCTGCGGAGAATGTGCCTCAGTGACTTCTGAGAAGAACTTGGAACGTATTTCGAAGACCACCAAGGACTTGCTCGAAGAAGAAGATTTCTGAGGCAGGATCCGAATGCAACCCATCTCGAGCGACTGATAGCCAACGCCAGTTGCAGAACTGCTTTGCAGGAGGATCTCAGGAAGTACAGGCAAGCCAAGATACTGGAAGCAGCCGAAGAAAGACGAAGTCTTAAGAAATGCCGAAGGGACCTCTGTGAATATCACGTACCGCTGGCTGCACTATTGAACGAAGACGGGACTCCGACTTCTTCCCGATACAAGATGGAATCTATCGCGAAGAACTTCTATACCAACCTCTTCCGCTCATCAACACCCGTGCCGATGCCCGTTGTTCCCACTGGAGAAGTACCACCACGAATTCTACCTGCTGAAGTGTGCACGGCGATTCAGACCATGAAGACATCCACGGCTCCAGGACCAGACCATCTTTCCGTCGAATTTCTGCGAGCCGGAGGACAACGTCTACACGAGATTCTCGCGTCGCACCTGACATCTTACCTTCAGAAGGAGAGGATTCCCGACCAGTGGAGAACGTCAAGAACCGTCCTTCTTTTCAAGAAGGGTGAACGGGAAGATCTTCGAAATTACCGTCCAATATGCCTGCTGAGTGTGCTGTACAAGCTCTTCACGAAGATTATCCTCGCACGCATATCTAGGACACTGGATGAAGCCCAACCCCAAGAACAAGCTGGATTTCGCAAAGGATTCAGCTGCATGGACCACATCCAGACGGTTTCGAGGGTCATAGAAGTCTGCCGGGAGTACCGACTGCCTCTCGTCCTAACCTTCGTCGACTACGAGAAAGCCTTTGACAGCGTCGAAACCAACGCCATCCTGTCTGCGCTAGTCGATCAAGGAGTGGAACCAGCTTACGTGAGGACACTAGCCGACTGCTACAAGGACTGTACAACAACGATGCAGCTATTCCATCGCCCCCTAACCATTCCAATTGGGAAGGGGGTTCGACAAGGCGACACTATTTCGCCGAAGCTGTTCACCGCGGCCTTGCAGTGGGTGATGAAGTCACTAGACTGGGAAGAGAGAGGCATACGAGTTGATGGGAGATTCCTATCCAACCTTCGTTTTGCGGATGACATGGTCCTTTTCTCGAGCAGTATCACTGAAGCAGAGGCGATGCTGAAGGAACTAAACGAAGTAGGGAAGAAGATCGGACTGCGAATAAATCGGAAGAAGACTCAGTTCATGAAGAACGCCCTTTGCGAAGATGCAGAAATGGAATTGGAAGGCACCCCTATCATGGAGACGTCTTCTTACGTGTATCTCGGACGTTCGATGAACATGGAGAACGACTTGAGGGAAGAACTTAACAGGAGAAGAAGAGCAGCCTGGGCCGCCTTCGGGCCTCTGAAGGAAGCCACCGACCAACTGACGGACCCGGAGCTTCGTGCCCACCTGTTCGACTCAACCGTTCTCCCAGCGCTCTGCTACGCAGCTGAGACTTGGGCCGACACCGTAGCCACGTCGAAAGCTTTAAGGACCACCCACAGAGCGCTCGAGCGCAGTCTTCTGAAGATGACCCGACACAAGCAACATCTAGTCGGACTTCGCAGCACGGATATAAGAAGAATGTCCCGTCTTCGTGACCCAGCGGAATACGTTGCGAAAGCGAAACACCGATGGGCCGGTCACATAATGAGAAGAACGGACGATAGATGGACACTAAGAACATCTGAGTGGATTCCTCGCGAAGCCAAACGTTTTCGAGGAAGACCACCGACGAGATGGGCAGACGTGTTCGTGGAACGGATGGACCAGCTGAGAAATCAGCTGGATACGATTCTTGCCCCTGGAACTCGTGGACGCAGCCACCGACGACGACCAAGAAGATCGTGGATGTCCGAAGCGAGGGACAGGGATCAATGGCGACTTCTGTACTGGGGCCCGCACGTCACGTGAGGACGGGCCATCTAAGTATCTAAGTAAGTTTCCAGAAATTCTCCAGCATTTAATTATGTTTCCTGTGCGAGCGAAACGGGTAACAACATCGTCTAAGTAACTTTGAATCTTTTAGTAGATGATACTGGTATCATTATCCTCATTTTGGAACTTGCTCCCAGCTACCATATACCCACCGTATTATCTGAAAAAAGGCGCTATCTTGGTACATTAATGGGTCTCGTAAATAGCAAGCTGAATTTTTTTGTCAACGGCGAAGTCTCAGACATTTATTTTTGAGTTTCTGAATTTACTAATGTGAAGTATAATATCAGTATTAATATGAACATATTATAGTTACAGCCGATCGTTATAGGAATGACCGGTCATGTGTACGATGGCAGCGTTTGGGAACTAAACAACTTGAGTTCATCGCCAACATGGAAGAAACTCGAAGTGGAAATTCCCAACAAGGAGGATGGCGAAGAAATTGTAGTCGATCCGGCACATGGGACCATCTATCTCATTGGGAAGACACAAATTGGCAAAGTAAAATTCGCATAATTGTGCCTTAATTTCTCCATGTATTCCCTGATAAGCTAAGCATATCCCAACTATGATTTCGAGTGATAATGAATTATTGATTATATGATATTCCAGCTCACTGGGTGATAATGGTTTGTGAGTCACTGAAATAAATATGCCGTAAATCCAGATCAGCCAATTATCTGGGCTTTCAGTCTTTTCATTTTTTTACAAAAAAAGCAACAAATAGCCTAATATAATATGGGTACGTTGTAGGAATATACGCAAAAATTTTACTGTGTTGTGCAGTAAATAAATTTACTATCATGAAAAAGTTATTTTATACACATAGCTCACTTCTTTATGCCAACAAGTCGCAAAAGTTAAGAAAACAAACTTTTTATAGTATTTTACGCATTTTTTCATGAATGCAGTCCAATAGGCTAAATATGGTAGAGTCACAGTATGCACGTTATGTGTCGATTCATGTTGTTGGGAACAAAAAGGTAGCCCGAATCATGTTCCTTTGTTCCTAGTCTCCTCCCATGTCAATCTTCCCATATACCTAATTTCTTGCATATATACTAGGGTGAGTCAATACTGTTGAGAACTTTACACCTCTTCTTGCACCTATACTCTGATGGAAAAAATTCTCCAAACACTACCCGGCGCAGCTTATCTTCCTCTTTTAGATAGTTTCAACTAGGCCCCCTCATAATTGCTGGAATAATTGCAGAAGTTCTGAACCCAAAGCGGTTGCCTTCAAATTCTGTAGTTGCGGATAGCTGTTTCCAAAATTTATAAATTGTAATATTTCAATGCGGTGCGCTTGACCGCTTTGTAAAATCAAGATTTGATAGCAAACGACTGTCAAAGCTTTCGATCGTTGAGGATTTCGTAGGGTTTGGGGTGTTTTTGCTTTGCGCAATTTTTATAGGGAGGTTTATAGAAAAATCATCTCAAAAAGTTTTTGAAGGCAATTTTGTAAGACCTAAAGTGGTTTGTGCTAAACAATGTCTGCTCTGCCTTTATGTGATCAAACTTTCCAGAGAATTTGGTAATGAAAATTTTGAGATTGAGCTAAAGTTACCCAAAGCAAAATGAAGGGCTCAAAATTTTAGGAATTTTACTAACAATTATTAGAAAAATTGAGTCGACTTGGTTGCTGAAAAGCAAACCACCATCGCCTACGTTATAATCCAATGCATTAATCACTAAATCATCCGACGTTCTCTGCACATTCTTTTCTGGCAACGCGACACATTTTCTCGTGTGTTTTCTGGTGTTCTACCTAATCTGGCTAGTATAACTCAACCGCGAAAAATTGCTAAGAAATTACAATGAACCAATCACAAAAACTGCTTTGCTGCATTTCTACTATCGATCACACGATCCAAATTGCTGTATTGTTCAAGTTAAATGCGGGAAAAAAACAACGATTAAATGCAAGAAAACCGTGCTAAAGAATTCAACAACAGAATTGCTTCAGATACGGAAAAATGAACCCGGTTAACACTGGTTGCGTGCAAGGAGCAAGTTTTAATGACAACAGCTTTTTCTGAAATCTCGGGGTTAGGGGCCCACAAAAATTTTGAGAAGCATTCCAAAAAATTTTTTCGGAGTGCGTGGCTAACGCCACGCACTTTCGTCGAAAAAATTCTTTGGCACTCCCCCCCCCCCCCTATCGGAAATCCTGGGTACGAAACTGACCCGAGATATTGAAAACCCAGCCAGATATCCATGTGCTAATGTACGCTGACGATATCAAAATTTATGCCAGCTATAGCGATGATAATCGCCGTGATGTTCAAATTGCACTTCAGCAGGCTACCAATCTTATGGTTAATTGGCCAAAGTCTGGGATACTTTTGTGAGTCCTTCCTTTGTGAGCAAAAGTTCTGTTTTTCACATTGGCAGTGGCAGGAATGACGAAATTTACTATGAGCATGCTGGAGAAACCCTGACCGAGAGTACCTTCTTGATCAATCGTTAAAACTTGACCTACGAATCTCTAGCGTAGCCTTTTGTGCAATCTCTAGTTTACCTCATCTTTCGCAGCACCACAATTGATGACCCTAGAGTACTGTTGAAACTCTGAAAAACTTTTGTTGTCCTTGTAGTGGAATATGCAAATCAGGTAGAGTCCTTCCTTGGTGAAGCACAAGCAGACCCTGGAGAACGTTTAGATGTTTTCACGCGCCTTTTATTTTATCGCTGTTTCCCTAACCCGACTTATCCTCTATCGATCTCAACTGTGAAGAGCAATTACGAAGGCTTGCCCTCAGAAGTCTCTCTTACCGTAGGCTTCTTCATGACCTAGTATTAGCTTCCAGGATTTTTTGGGGTGAAACCAAACTGCGGCTGTTTAAGTACTGAGTTTTTAAAACTACCTATGGAAAAAGTGGTTGTTTCTCTATTTATCATCAACAAATTGGTAGGCGTAAGATTATCGAATTAGGACTTCCTCTATCGAGCAACGAAAGTGATGCAATTTTTGCCGAAAGAGCTTTTAGCATGTAGTATAACAGCATCTTATTGAAACGCGAATTAAACCCGCTAAATTGAATGAAATCTTTACAGATAGTGCTGATCCATCATCCATATGGTCGTAACTTTAGCAATGTGCAACGGTCTATCATCTGGGCCTTGACTATTCACTGAATGAAGAAGATCGAAAACTGTGCCTTGATACAATTTACTGACCTTGACAGATATTTTACTAGCTCTCATTTTATCACCATGTTCAAGTCAACTAGTATATCTGTTCGTCTAGTATCTCTTACCTATAGCTTGGGTACAGCTTACTAGCCCAAGCTTGCAAATTGGAACCGTATATTCTTTTTCATTGGGGTCATTGGGACTCTCCTCAGCAGATTGATGTAATTGGCTTGTCATATTACCTGCCAGCGACCAAGCTTCCACTTTACTTTTCTAAATAGTTCAAGATCGTTTTTTGCTGACAAACGTAGGAGCATGGGAACCATCTCCTTGATATTAAGCTAGTTCGTACTACTGTCCCATATATAACATGTTCATGCCAAAACCTATATTTATACAACATCCGTTCGTCCATGCAGGTTTTCCCTTATTATCTTCTTACCAGTTTTCCCTTATTATCTTCTTACCAACTTTTGAAGCTGCCTCCAACTGACGTAATGATCTGTTTTGTTTGTTTTTTACTCATATCAGTGTATATAGATTTGCACTGATTATTTTCTTTCCTTCTTGTGGAGCGAAATGTTGAATGAAATGAAATGAAATGAAAATGTTATGCTTTTTTCTCAAAGTCTCCCTACAAGATTTTTCTCCTGCCTTGGGTGAAATGGACATTTCAATGCCGTGCATATTTTGCCAAAGACAAGCGACAGGAAGAGATGCCTACATTTGCGAGTGATCCATCCATCACCATTGCCATATTATGTGAGTTTGTTGTATAATTCAAATACCTCAACTTCTGGGCAGAAGTGGCTATGCCTTTCACGACATGCAGGCTAAGACTTCAGTTACGCCAGGAACAAACTCAAAAACAAACATCTTTCGCTGATCTGTTCAGCTTGCACAAGATTGGTATATCTCTTTATTTGAACGACGTTTCGGCTAAATCGCCTTCTTTGGGGGTTGAAGTTGTGACCATGTAAACTGTCTAGTCAGCAACTTCGTCACAAGCAAGCAAACTGTCCAAGTTGTTAGCGAATCAAAAGAGTACAAATGACAAGATCCGGTCATTGCCCTGTCAACAATTCAATGGCTGATACATTATACCAACGACTGACCACGACTTGCCTGATCGTGACGAAGTTGCTGACTGGACAGTTTACATGGTCACCGCTTTTTCAGACCCCGAATCAGGCGATTTAGGCGAAATTTCGGTCAAATAAAGAGATATGCCGATCTTGTGCAAGCTGAACAAATCAATGAAATATTAGGTTGTGTAATAAGTTCTGTCCCATTTTTTCTTTCGATTTTTTCTTAACACTTTGCGCGATGTTCTGCAAATTACTTGTATGCATTTGAAAGTTCTAAGCCTTCTCTACTAAAACTTCCATTTCGGTTCTTTACATCAGAAGACTTGAAAGAGTTTTACAGCGCCAAATTTGGAAAATCAAACACGGAAAAAATCCATTTTCGACAACTATGTTACGTCGTCCTCCAAATTAGTCAAAATGCCCAGGAATGAGCTCAAAAAATTTGCTACACGTAAGCAAAGAATGCTATAGCTTCTACTGCGCTTCAGGACTGCCAAAACTTTTCAAAAATTATTTCTGTATAATGTAGGAAAAGCGACGGCAAACAGAGCCGCCGCCGAAGATTTACGACCCGACTCGGAGGAGGAGTTACCGCGAGGATTTCTCGATGCCAAGCAGTTAGCCAGTAGACATTTTAATCTTATCGCATGTAGCCGCCTTTCTATATCCGCTTGTGTGTGCCATGCTTCTATTGCTACTACAATAAACCTTACATATGCCTCCTAGGTCTGGTTCATATGGTCAATTGTCTCGGACCTAGGTGATGGGTCTAGCGCAACAGTACAGTAATCCTTAAGACTGGGAAAACTACGGAACGCAGCATAATTTTATAACAATAATTTAGAAAAGTATTCTTTTTAACGCCTTTTCAACGTAAACGTTCGCCATCGTCTGAAGGCATCCTGAGGAAGGACGGTAGGCGGATCGTTTAGAAAAGACAGAAGGGATGATTTATGGCTTCAAAATTATCGAATTCGTAGGTTAGATACCCAAAATACGAATTTTCCACACAGCTTGGGCACGCGAGACGGCGAACATCGGCGTGGACAAAGTCTTGCTTTGCCGACTTTTCAAAAAAATGTCATTAAATAATCGGTGGAAGGAAGGGAACAAGCGCAAACAATGATAGAATGAAGCGGAAGAGTCTAATAGAATGTTTTGCTTGTTATCAAGCTTGTTTAATAAGTTTTACCAACTAAAAGCGAGAAAAATTTGGTGGAAAAAAGGTGTCGAAAATTGATTTTTCGGCTCTTTGTTTGAATGATTAAAATCTTTTTCATTTTCTTGCTATGCTGGAAAATGATGCATATGAGCTTACAGAGCAGACTTGAAGCTTTAAAAAGCATATACACTTTATCTCAAATTATATCAGTGTTGTCGTGAAAAAAACTAAAACAAAAAATGGGACAGAACATTTTACACGACCTAATATATATAAAGTTATACAACGAGATTGATTAATAGTCGATCATGGATAATCTTCAGGAAAAAATAGTTGCTTAGTTCTCATCTTTCATCGGAAGAGTTATCCAAGCGAGAATTGCTTGAATGCACAATGATGTCATGAAACGTCGCGCGAAAGAAAAACCCATTCTGTTACTTTGTTGCGCTCTGAAGGGTGACCTACTGTTTGCGATTGTTTATTATTTCATTTCAAAACGCTCTAAGGCGTGCTAGGTGGTATGGTGAAGGATAATTATGGAAGAATGATGAACGGAAGAACGGATAGAACGAGATGAAAGAAAAGATGAGGAACTGAAAGAAACCTCCAAATCACTCTCAGAGATAATAACAATCGATGTATCTTCTTCTTCAGAATCAAGGGAGTCAAAGTGATCGAGAGATCAAGACCGTAGTTTATCAATACGGTAGATGAGTAATGTGTAAAAGTAGGATACAATAAGAAAAAGGTGATGGTGAATGGTAGCCCAACGTAGGAAAATTAGGAGTGCGGCTTATGTAGCAGATTCGACAACCCACTAAACTTGAAACGATAAGATAGCTACTGAGGCAGTGTTCATAGTGAAGAGGTTTGTCGATACTGAATCATGTATTTGTACGTTCTTTGCAACAAAGAACATACAAATATGCTTCGAATCTTCTCGACCTATGAGCCGCTTGTTTCCAGCGACTTGTCTGTTGTGTTGTAACTACTTTTCCAAGCTGGAACCTCAAGCGATATATACTTTGCGAGATTCGAAGAACCATAAAGAATGCGCCGATTGCAAATTTTGCCATTTATTACAGACAAAAGGAAATTGAAAATTTTCTAAAAACCGTAGATAGACTTAGGCAGCCTCAAGAAAACACGATCTGGTCGACATTGAACCCTGCATAGCACAAAAATCAAACAAGATAAATCAGCGCAAGTGGATCCCGTTTCACGCTTTCTTTTTTGGACTAAATAATTTATCTAGAATTTCAAATCTCAAGTTTAATAGTCGTTTTCCACACTGATCTTCCTTTATTTCGAAACAATTCTCACAAAATACTCTCAGCACCCACTTCTGTTCAGACTCCGACTTCATTGATTCACATTATTTCACTTCGATTTATCCGACTCCCTTCACACTAATGTTGCGAGCTCCTTATCCCACAACTTCATTCCGTACGAATTCTTCCCTTCTGGGTTTTTTCTATCCTCTCAGGATGAACATCACTAGAACCGTAGCTCTGAATGCCTAACAAGGAATACATGTTTAGTCAAAGTGGCCTTTTAGATGGAATGTATGCCAGGTGCTGATTCCAGATCTGCTTTCCTAATCTGCGGAGCGTTTCTAGACGAGGAGTTATGAGCGCTTATTGGAGCAAAAATTTGATTGTACAAGTAGGACAAAATAGCAGTAATACTTTCTCACCCCTCCAGTGGAGCAGTGATAATCATCAGAACACTTTATTTAACAAGTAATCTCAGATAAAAAGTATACCACTCTGATTGCATTAGAGAGCTAGTAATATTTTAGCAATCCGTTTTATCCAAAATGTGCATTTAATTTTTGGCTCCAAAAAGCTCGTAATTCCTCGTCCATCAAAGATCTGCAAATAAGAAAGGCAGGTTTGGAATCAGTCTTTTATACCCTTTAATATGTTGTACATCTCATTTGAAAAGTCACTTCGCTTAAACAAGCTTCCCTTGTAAGAATAAGATGTACACTCACTCACACTGTATGAAGATTTTATTGAATAAATTCATCTATCCGAGTGCGTTGCTCACGTTTCGTCTAAACATTGTAAAACAGAACTAACAATAAGAAGAAAAGTTTGGTGACATAAAAAAGAGTTATACAAACTACAGATTTTTCCAGATCCCCGATAAAGACGAGTTGGTCGAAAACGTAGAATCAATGAAAGTTTTACCAAATCAAAAAGTCAAAAGTAAGAATAGAGAATTTGAACTAGAAAACAGTCCTATCGATATTCAAATTAGATGCTGTATTAACGCTTCAATGCTGTGAATATCAATCACATTTCGTATGCTGTATCTACCCGATTGGTGGGTATTTTTACTGCTGGCAAATACCAGTAACAAAAATGATACCAGGTGAGTATTTTCGCAGCAATTCAAATAGTGCTTTCACTCTTAGATCTACAGCAACTTGCTCGCATTTTCCTTCTTTCCTTCGAAAAAACGAAGTATTAGCCTCTGATCAACAAGATTGGTGGCTGGAAAGCGACCGCTTGCGCCCGTGACGCAGTCTGCGTCACTCTCGCGAAAGTGCTCTCTGATCATTCCCTAGCCCGATTAGGTCACAGAACCCCGCCTTACAGCCGCCAATCCAATTGAATCAAAAAATAGAGTAGATGAGAAATAGCTTCGTTCTGGCATACACATATCGAACTCTATGTAACGAATGAAATAGCTGCTACTCAATTAATGACTTTTTTGTGAAAAATCCCCACTATTACACTCAATTATTAATTCCTATTAGTAGCAAATGGAAAAATGTTTCTATATAGCTGACCTCTTGAACTTCTCAAACACTTTGAATTTTGATTTTATGATATGAGTGCACGGACGTGTAAATTGTCAACTGGTTACATACATCCCTGGCTACACGGCAAAAAGCAAAGATATTGCTGCAGTTTGTAAACTCCTGTGAACAAAAATGTGCGAATTGACATTTGGCCCGGAAGTCAGTGCAGTCTAGATCGCTTAAAGGCAGCGGACAGGCAAAATGGACCCCTGTCAGATTTTGGTAGTTTCGGGTAGTGGACCCCCCAAGTACACCGTAGCCCCAACCCCACATTCCAATTCCTGCGCTAAGTCTTGAAAAAAGCGCTTCAAAACTCCACCAGCCCCGCCCACTTCCATTAAGTGGGCGTTATTGGTGGAAGTTTGAAGCTTCTTTTCGGAACTTAGCACATGATTTGCAGGGTGAGGTTGGGACTATGGTGTACTTGGGGGGTCCACTACCCGAAACTACCAAAATCTGACAGGGGTCCATTTTGCCTGTCCACTGCCTTTAATGACCTTTTTGACCACGCAAGTGATTGAAGATCATTGGTGCGCTAATTTTTTCTCATATAGCTTGGATTATTCTTTTCAGCAATACCACATTCGTTCAGAAGTTTGGCTGTGAATTTTTGGAATCGTCGAAAACGACCGAAACTAATTTTTTAGCTATAGCATTATCATCACATTCAGGCAGCATAGATTAAATGCTATTCATCTTTTGAAAGCGATGTTATATGTGACTACAGACGCCGCCGCATAACAAAGATTATCAAACCACAATTATTGGCAAGCACTGACACACTGACATCATTTAATGGTATCCACATATTCTAACACCTTTACATGCCAGAAATGCGAACTTTTCCTTTCATGCACTTCCCTTGTAGGAATCAACCTCATTCTTGGGTAAGAGAGACACGCTCTTATCCTCATATTGATAAAAGGTATCTGAACCAGCTCTATATGTGAGTGATTGTCTTCTTCAACCAAAAACATTACTGTCAAAACTTTTTGGCAGTCAAACTGACATTTCGGTGCCATCACTCTCGTCTGAGCCTTGGCAGCTTCCGAAGTTGACAGCAGCGAGACGTTAGACGACTATTAAAAAGTTGTACGCCTTGGTTTCAATTGAAGAGAATGAATGATCACAGATTACAAAACTATGCCAAAATTCATTTAAAAAATTGATCTCCTAATCTTATCAACTTCGCTTTGTTTGTACACAGTGTAATATTGTGCTCGGACCCAAAAAAACGATCAAAGAGCTTCTTCACCAACTAAAAAACATTTCGCAAAGCGTTAAAGTGTTGAGAAGCAGTTTCTTGTTTGAGATGAAGGGTATTGAAAGGCTATAAGTCAACAAGGATTATCTCTTTGAGACTATGAGAGAGTAGAGAGACTGATAACTCCATACGTCCGCTTTTGCATTCAAATTTGGCAATATCTTCCTATCTTGTGACAAAGGCAATCTATCTATCTCACTTCGATTTGTTTATATGAGGCATTTAGGCATTGGCAAAATATCGCTCAGAATAAATCTCATTTACAGGAAAGTTTTCGAGAAGATTGGTGGTTCCCACAAAGGTTTAGTCCCAGAAAATTGTAAATATGAGCATGCACTCGTAGCCGGCGATAAGATTTGGGTTTTTGGAAGGAGACGTAAGGAATTTTTTGAAATTCTTTAAAAAAATAACAGTGATTTTAGACGAGGATCAAAAGACATTCAATTGGGGTCATTATGTAGCATACGTTGGAACTTACGCAATTGCTTTTAACACAGCCGAAAACAAATGGGAAGACGCTAAGCCTGTGAGTTTTTTTTAGAAATTTCTAAAAATTTCGAAAATATCGAACGGGCGCAATTCATAATCCACGCAATTTGATATCTACTGAACATGAAACTATAAGCTTACGCAATTGCTTTTAACACAGCCGAAAACAAATGGGAAGACGCAAAGTCTGTGAGTTTTTTCAATTTTGGAAACTTTACTCAAAAACTAACGAACGAACACGGTTTGTATCTTGCGCAAATGACATCTCAGTATCTGTAGAAGAAGTACATATAAAATACTTGTGGATATTTTGACTTCCGCCAGAATTTCGCCTTGACAAAAAATTGAAGAATGCACAGCGATTCTTTTGTTTTGTTATTGAACGGCGGCCAAGATCGGTATGGTAACAACTTATTATTTGGCTAACATTTCGGCGCTGTCGTCGTCAGAGCCTGTAACCAAAAACGTATGTGCGGCGTACTTGCTGAGCTTTCATTACCGTAACGATTCAAACTGAGTTGAGCACGAGACCAGCAAAGAGCTAGAACATGCCTTACCTTATTCGACGTTAGTCGAGAGATTTGATCGCTCGTGGTCAACCTGTGCAGAATGTGATTGTACGTTGCTCTCCATGGTTTATACTTTGGTGTAATCAAAACCGCAGAGGTTTTGATACGGTAATAACTCTTTGGTTACGGTAATGCACTCGTCCTTTTTATTCATTTTGGGGTTACGTGACGTAATCCAGAATGCTTCAAATGTCCTGCGTTTGATAGTTTCTTGTTCGTATGACAAGATTGTGGCAGCAGTATCAAACGGCAATTATTGTGCGACACTCTGCTATGTGCACTTAGAGGAGTAGATGCTTTGCGTTTTGCGAGTCCAACCAAGTGCTCTTTGATCCGTAGACACAATGGTCGTCCAGTCTCACCCACATATTCTTCACCGCATACTCGATAGGTAATGAAATAAACGACACCGCATTCTAGGCAATCACCTGGTCTTCCAAAGGAACATAATACGCAGTTTGATGTTAAGCAAATATTGTCATATGCGATTGCGAACTAACTACTTCTTAAGATTGGGAGGAGGGATGTCTACAATCCGTACAAATCTTGCAAGCCTGCTTGATGTAAACTCCTCCTAACAGCTATGCTAAAGTTGTTCGCTACGAAAGAGATGCAAAAGGAGATTTTTTGGGTGTCTTTCTCATGCGGTGTGCATCGCCGTCGACAAATTACCGTTAACGCAACTTATTTGCAAATATCCATTGGATAATGCAATTTCTTTAGCCAATTTCAAAGATGCCGTAGGTTCTTGAATACCAGAAGAGACTTTTTTAGCTGTTTTGAACATATTATTCAATTAGATCTCTTCATGTTTCGTGGATGTGCTGTACAGTAATACTAAAATATTTTTGTTAGTGGGCTTTCGGTACCGCCTGGTTTGAACAGTCTCCATGCAGAACAGTTTCCTTGCTCCACGTGTAACTGTTCTCGGTAAGGCCTAAGGCATACCTCGCGCGATTACTGTCGCTGAGCGATTCGGCACAACAGCGTCTCTTCGTAATTCGTCGTTAATGCGCTGCCTTTGGTCAGAACTTGCTTGATTGTCGACAACTTACACAAGCTACCCAAATATGCGTCCGAGAAGAGCGCACGATAAAATTGTAGAAATCTGGCAAATCGCCAAGTCGTGAAAGTGGCGATTCGGCCGAATCGCGTGAGGTATGTCTTAGGCTTAACGCATCCCTCGAACGCCTTATTGTCTTGATTTTGGGACCTAGCTTTTCACCTACCCAACCTGTTGGTTTCAGGATAGTCCGCAAGATTGTTGGCAGCTTACAAACACTACATGACGCCTGCGACTAAGAGCAAAACAAGAATGTGAGGAATCGGATAGGCAGTAAATTATAGATACCAGGGACAAGAGATTACCCGTCATACCATTCCCTTCACTTATATACAAGCCTGAAGAGCTTAATGCGGTCATAGATACAAAGTTTCGTCTCTTTGCAACTTCGCTCTTCGGCATTCTGACGCATACTCACAAAAACGTTTATCTCGTAATCTCACTCCTAGACAGTACCAAGGTCTCCGTGAATTGCGAAGCATGTGCGTTAATGGTGATATCAAGGTTTCCATTTCCCGTAAAGGAGGCGAATTTACCGTCATAAGCCCTGATCTAGATGCCGCTATAATCAAACTTCACCTAAGCGATAATACTCTATACCAACCGTCATCGGAAAAAAAGTTTATGAAACAGACAGGCGCTTGATTAGGATATGGGTTAGCACTGCGAAAGACATCGGATTATTTAAGCCTACTGTCTCGCGACTGAAAAGTGATCTTCCCATGTGCCTTATACTATACGTTCTTGTCAAAACGCACAAAATTCCTTCATCGTCTCTCTTCCCTATTAATCCTCTAGGTTACAAGATTAGACCCATTGTAAGCTGCATAGGGGCCAAATGATAAAATTTTATGGTTGCTGAATGTGATATTATCCCAGCTTCTCAAATACATTCCTGCGCATCTTTCAAATACCAACATGTTTCTTGAGCGGCTGCGTATTTGGATGGTGAATGTAGTATTGAGTCTTTCGACGTCACTTCCCTCTACACCAGCGTCTCCAATACGATGCTATGCAAGCAGTGTACGGACTTCTATGCGAATCCCACAACTTGCTTAATATGTACGGGTCAACATAAGGCAATTAATGACGTTGCTGAATGAGTGCCTCAATTGCTCCATATTGCGTTGGTCTGGCCAGTACTTTAAGCAAATTGGAGGTTTATTTATGTGACAAAGATTGGCATCCATAGTAGCGACAACTTTTATGTCGAAAGTAGAAAGCCGGTGCTAGCGCGTAAACCTCTTTTGTGCTGTAGGTACATTGACGATTGCTACATTGTATGCGCCACCCAAAAGAAAGTTGATACATGTTTCGACATTCTGAATGCGCAATCGCCGAGCATGAAGTTCACTCGCGAAAAGCCAGTCAGAACTGGCTAGCTTTCCTGAATGTTGAGGTGTATTTACATAACGGAATTTGGAAAATCAAGCGATACCGAAAGCCTACCAACAAAAATAACTTACAAGGGAGGTGTTTTCGGTCGAAGTGGCCTTTTCACAAGAATTTGATATGGCTATAAAGAGCATCAAACGCTGATTCCAAATCTGTCTTCGTTATCTGCCGAGCGCCTCTAGATGTCGAGTTATGAATATTTTCTTGGTGAGAAAAATGAACGCATAATCTAAGTGAAGTAAAATTTTGCGGTCTTCTCAGCGCTCAAATAGAGCAGTGTTGAGTATGATTGCTTTAGATAGAAGTTATTATTCAAATAAAGTGCTTTGATAGTCAAAATTGAACCATTTGAGCAAATCTGACGAATATTGTCCTAATTATGCATTCAATTTCTCAACTCAAAAAACGCTCATAACTCGACGTCTAGAAGCGCTCGGCAGATAATGAAGACAGACTTGGAATCAGCGTTTGATGGTCTTTACAGTCGTATCAATTCCATGTGAAAAGGCCACTTTGACCAAAAACACCTCCCTTGTTAGTACATTACTGTTCAGCACATCCACGGAACATGAAGAGATCCATTCTGAATAATATGTTCAAAACAGCCAAAAAGGTCTCGTCTGGTATTCAAGAACGTACGGCATCTTTGAAGTTGGCTAAAGAAATTGCACTATCCAATGGATATTTGCAAATGAGTTGCGTTAACGGTAATTTGTCGACGGCGATGCACACCGCATGAGAAAGACACCCAAAAAATCTCCTTTTGCATCTCTTTCGTAGCGAACAACTTTAGCATAGCTGTTAGGAGCAGGGCTCGGCACGAGGTGGCTAGTTGAAAATGCAAAAAGCGAAGCCCCCCTAACTTTTGCGAATTTTTACGAAGTCCCCTTTGACCCTGGAGCAGGCTCGGCACGAGGTGGCGTCCCGAAATTGCAAGAAAATGAAGTCCCCTTTGGCTTCAATGAAGTTACGACATCCGCCACGAGATATTCGAAGAGAAAGTACATGAAAAGGAACGGAACAAAGCAACAGCAGAAAAAAAACGAAAAAGAATCATCGAACACACGCGATGATATTCATATTCTCCGGATTGGCGGCATGATCTATCCATCGTGCAGCAATACGCGACTAGAGCAGCCTTTCCTCCGCCATTCAAAATTTTCAAGGGGCTATAACTAAGCGGGGAGAAGGGGGTTCGAGGCGGTTTAGGAACCAGTTTGTAGGGTTCAGGATGTAGATGAAAAGTATATAAAGAAAGTAGGAAAATTAGGTGAGGGAGGAAAAATTTATGACTTTTTTTTTCATAAGCTACCTCAGGTGGCTATCCAGGTGGCTTGAAAGCCACCTAACTCTGAAAAAAGTTGAGCATGCCTTTAGTATTCACATAATTTTTTCATAATTTTTCATACTTAGTCCTAACTCCCCACTGCCCATCTACACACCTATTTTGGTGTCATTTCATCTTCACTTCGCTGTAAACAAACCCTTTGTTTATTCGCTGGCGGCATGCCGGCAGCGTGCCGGCCGCATATCGAATGATAACGTTATGCTCTTCCACAAAAACGATATCCCCTTCGCTTTTTCCCCAAAAAGATATCCAGCTTGCTTGCTAAGCCACCTGTGCCGTGCCCTGGTTAGGAGGAGTTTTCATCAAGCAGGCTTGCAAGATTATGTACGGATTGTAGACATCCCTCCTCCCAATCTTAAGAAGCAGTTAGTTCGCTGTCGCATATGACAATATTTGCTTAACATCAAATTGCGTATTATGTCTCTTTGGAAGACCAGGTGATCGCCTAAAATGCGGTGTCGTTTATTTCATTACCTGTCGAGTATGCAAAAGAATATGTGGGTGAGACTGGACGACCATTGTGTCTACGGATCAAAGAGCAGTTGGTTGGACTCGCAAAACGCAAAGCATCTACTCCTCTAAGTGCACATAGCAGAGTGTCGCACGATAATTTGCCGTTTGATACTGCTGCCACAATCTTGTCATACGAACAAGAAACTATCAAACGCAAGACATTCGAAGCATTCTGGATTACGTCACGTAACCCCAAAATGAATGAAAAGGACGAGTGCATTACCGTAACCAAAGAGTTATTACCGTATCAAAACCTCTGCGGTTTTGATTACACCAAAGTATAAACCATGGAGAGCAACGTACAATCACATTCTGCACAGCTTGACCACGAGCGATCAAATCTCTCGACTAACGTCGAATAAGGTAAGGCATGTTCTAGCTCTTTGCTGGTCTCGTGCTCAACTCAGTTTGAATCGTTACGGTAATGAAAGCTCAGCAAGTACGCCGCACATACGTTTTTGGTTACAGGCTCTGACGACGACGTCAGCGCCGAAACGCTAGCCAAATAATAAATTGTTATCATACCGATCTTGGCCGCCGTTCAACAACAAAACAAAAGTTATTCAAATTATGCCAAGATTCACATTAGGTTGTCCCAAAAGTAAACCGTATTTTTGCATAAATCAAACTGTTCTTGTTTTTCTGGCAGACTTGGGGCACTATTAGATGGAGCGAAGCAAGCTCTACAAAATGACCACCAAAGAGCCGTCTATGTCGCTGTCCAGGTAAAATTTGGATCCAAAAATCAAAATTTTTCAGCTACCCTAAAAATCGGATCTCCTGTTAGAAAACTCCTACGGACTTCAAACTTGGTCTTTATATAATAGACGCATAGCATTACCCAAAAGTATTTGGTGGATTTTTTCCGGAGCTCAAAATTGAGAAAAAAGGGGGTCCCGAAATGCCAAAATGCCACTTTTTTCGGGTTTTTTAATGTAAAACTTAGTATTTCTCGATCATAAGAGCACATACAGGGGTAAGTTTATGAAAATGTACTTAGTAAGGCTTGTAGTGTACAATGGCATAGGTGGGAGGGGCTGGGAGCGGAGTTTGCCATTTTGGACATTTTTTGTTTCTCGCTTTCTATGCTCGGAAAAACTTCGGCAAAAGCTTATTTGAGTACTACTATGTGCGTACTGTGTAATGACCAAGCTGGAGGTCCGTAGGACTCTTTCTCGCAGAAATCCAATCTTCAGGTGAAAATTTTTTTTTCGATTTTCGCTTCAAACTTAACATGGAATGCGACTTAGGCGGACCTTTGGTGGTCATTTTGCAGAGCTTGCTTCGCTTTATCGAATGGTACCCCAAGTCCGCCAGGAAAACAAAAACAGTTTGATTTATTCAAAAATGCGGTTTACTTTTGGGACAACCTAATAGAAAGTCGAACTTCGGGGCTATTAGAAGAAGCAAGCGACTTCTTTTTATACAATTGTTCCAATAAACGAAGGTCATCTCTATCACTTTCCGCTAAAATTCTTCGTAATGGTCATGAACCCAATGTTTCACACTATCGCATGAGTCACCTACTACTAGTCCTAACTTATGTTTTTCTCATTGAATCTGTTGAAAACTCGGCTTAGTCATACTTCTCCCCATCTGCAACGCTGTGCAAATGCAAACCCAAAAGTGGCGCAATCCGGCTGTCGAAACAGAATGTCATAATCTAGAATTTCATTCGAACATGGCTTCTGCGCACCGGTAAAGGGGTAGGGGACATTTGAGTACCGACTGCATATATCACGATTATTTCGCTCTCCACATCGTGTATAGGTCGAATACCTGAAATCGCAAGAAATTTTGGGAATTTATAATGAAGAAATGCAGTCAAACCTCGCGATATGGCATGAATTTAAGTTGAGGTAGTATAATAATAAAGTGGAATTGTCTTTGGCTGAATCAGTTCCAGAGCGGTTATTCGGCATGCTTAATCCGAAAATGATACTCAGCTTATTTTTAGGACCATGTAAGGTCATTGTAGGTGTATCTAAAGGTTAGAATCGATCTGTTATGCTCTTTACTAGCATGTTTTTCTGGGATTCTTGTATATGTACAGTATGAGAAAATGTTCACCTGCAAAGACGTAACCTTGATATGTCTGTGGTAATAGTGGCAAAAATAACTCTCTAGGCAAAATTTCTGCAAGCAGATTCGTAATTTTTTCTGAACAGCTTGCATATTTCAAGAAAGACCTTGCGTTCGAGAAGTGCCTGGACTTCTGGGTCATAATAAACTCGCGAATGGAGGCTGTACGTTACCAGTGATGGTGACATGAGCCATTGTGCAGTGCAAGTTTTGACAAAAAGTTCTTCGACTAAGTGCTGCCTAATTTTTAAGAATCTATCTGAAATTTTGGGTCACTTATCATCTGTGTTTTTTCTCTACCAGGCTCTTTTTCGCACTTAATTTCAAAAATCTCGTATGACAACCTGAAGGAAGATGTGCCCATCAAAAGGCAGTACCCACTGAATTGTTTTTCATAAAGCAAATTCCTCTCGTTGTACTTATTCTCATCGCCTACTTCTCCTCATAAAAAGACGCGAAATTATCGAGCGCAAGCATCGGTGGTTCAGTGGTAGAATGCTCGTCCGCCACGCGGGCGGCCCGGGTTTGATTCCCGGCCGATGCAGTCTTTTCTTCTTCGCATATAAAGTTACGCATCAATGATAACGACAACTATTTATCGAAGTTTTGTGGATTCTTGGGCAGAATCGGGAAATAAACCTCTCACGCTTGCAACGATAAATTTGCCAATTGTGCCTGAGAAAATTCAAAAAAAATACGCAAGGCACATAACGAAAAAATAATCGCATGAAATATCATCCGCGCTCAAGAAATAGGGACACCAAAAAAAATGTTCTTTCCATCTCAGTCTGTGAATCAATGCACATTGTGCATCTTCAAATCTTAGGCTTTTGCTGAGATTGCATACAGGTTCCAGTTGAGAACCTGTTGTTCAAGTTTCCTGCCTGATAGAGTTATTGTGAATGTGTGGTTTAAGGGGGGGGGTGAGAAAACTGGAATTGTTGAATTTTGGGTGACAAATACTAACTTCAATCGCTTTTGAGAGTTTTCTAAGCTGACGTGACGAACAGCGAGGGATATGCGAATTTGAGCGGAATTTGTGATTTGAATGCTTGGTGCACAGTACCCAAGCAGTGCCTTTTTTTCAAAATCATGTAGCCTATAACGTATGGGCAATTGTTTTTTGCTGGTAAGTTTAGCATATAAAATCAGCCTCTATGCGCTTTTTCAGTACTGTCTTCTAATCGTGTTGTTCAAGTCATGTGAAATTTTTACTTTAGTTCCCCGCCATATCAAACGAAGAGAATCTTGATGAAAAGCTCTTCGTTCACAATGGAACTCCCCACATGCTGCTCTATGCTGCATTTGGTAGTATTTCGCTGAAATCTCTTTACAAATGGAACGTGCAAGTATGCTTAGCTTTCGCGTTAGATCATAATGGCCAGGTTTTCTATTACTATTCAGAGTTTCGATCCCATTTCTGGCTGGAAAAAGGCCAACGTCCATCTGGAGATTGCTGATAGTCAGGACGATAACACAAAATATATAGTAACTAAGATGGGTCGAATGAGAGTGGCCCGTTTGACTTTCGCTGGCGATGGCGCCAAAGCTGAACATCTTTTCGACATACCAATAGATGATAGAGAACGTAGATTCGTACGTGCTCCCACAGCTAGTTTTTCTTATATCTTTACGAAATGTGTATGTCCAGCTGGGAAGGGCTACATCAGCCGTTGTCACTGGCTCACGGTTGCTTGTTTTCTATAGTGTCAGAGCTTGCGGATTCCGATGGACGGCTGAAAGAATTATTGCTTGCGATTTGAACTCAAAGAACTGCGAAAAACTAAATGTTCGTCTTTTTTTTGAAATTACTGTTTAGTAACAACATACGAATCGTCCTCCAGATCAATTCCGATCCGAGGCCACCGTGGGTTAGTGGTGCTCGCAGTCATGCTCTATTGCCTTCTGGTTCCTGGATTCATGCCGCAGGAGGTATTCGAAAGGGTAAATCCTACATATTCAGCATAATCAGGCATCACATAACTTGTTTCAAACTCAAAATCCATCAAAATTTGTTAAGACGTAGGGAGATTACTTGATCACGGATTTATATTAAGTTCGCAAGCTAGCGTCCGGGGTTACGGTGGATATACGGTAGGTAAGAGCTATCCTGGGCTCAAGACTTGCCTAAGAGGTTTTTCAGCATGCTAATTAGCTTTTTGTGAGCAGCGTGGGTGAAAACATAATCGAAATGATTTCGGTCTTCTTCCGAGCAACACTGATATTACCAGGGCACCGAGTCAAGCTGTCTATCGTTCGTGAGACAAAAAAGCGAAGGGGTTAACGTTTTTGTGGTCGAAAAGACACAAAAATTGCAACGTTTTTTTAGCGACGTTTCGTTTTTCCTTGAGGGTTTTCTCCGTTTAGGGTGTAGAGTCAAAGAAAACTTTGTACGAAACTTTCAAGATCAAAGGGGATTTTGTTTTGAAAGTTGCCAGCTCGTGCCCACTGATTGTCACCCATCCTTTGGAATCTACACGCGGCTACCGTACAACTACCGTAGCGCCAGAAAATGGCGTTAATGGCCATGTTAACGGGTACGTGACCAACAAGCCGAGCAATTCTTTCTGGCAAAGTCAAAGCCTTAGCGAATGCAAGTATTTTGAGTTTTTGAATTGACAAACGTAAAAAAAGTCGATAGGCACACAGTTATTCCGCCCATTATAGGATTGACTCGTAGTGAGTATGATGGCAGCGTTTGGGAGTTGAACAACCTGAGTTCATCCCCTACATGGAAGAAACTTGGAGTGGAAATTCCCAGCAATGCGGAACAGATTGTAATCGATCCGGCACATGGGACCATTTATATCATTGGGAAAACTCAAGTCGGCAAAGTGAAATTCGCATAATCGTGTCTTTAGTCCACGTATTCTCTGAAAGCACATCCCGACTATGTCATTTGGAGTGATTATGAATTATGTGTGATCATGCGATATTCCAGCTCACTGGGTGAGAATGGTTTGTAAGTCAATAAAATAAATATGCCGTAAATCCAGATCAGCAACCAGCCATCTCTGGACTTCCAGTCTTTTCAGTTTTTACAAAAAAAGAAACAAATATTTTTATGAATATAACATTGGCAAGTTATAGGAGTCACAAGCAAAGATATATTATTATGTGTAGTAAACAAAACTACTGTGTTTAAGTTATCTCTTCAACAAAGATAGCGCAGTTCCTTATGCTAACGAGTGGCAAAAATGAAAAAAAACACAAATTATATTTAGCATTTTATGCTAAATTATGTGAACGCATGGTATGCACCTCACTTGTCGATTCGGGAACATAAAAAAGACCCAAACTGTCCCTTCGCTCCTATTTCGTCCCTTGTTAATCAGCCCATATACGTATTTTTCTTCTTGCATATAGTATGCTAGGGTGAGTTAAAAGTGTTGAGAATCTTAGACCTCTTCTGGCATCTATACTCAAAATTGGATAGAAAAAATTCTCCAAACTCTATCAGGCGCAATTTTCTTCGTCTTTCCGGTGTCTTATGTTTCAATTAGATCTTCCCATTATTACTGGAATAATTTCAGAATTTCTGGACCCAAAGCGTCTTCCTTCAAATTCTGCAGTTGAGGATGGCTGTGTCCAAAACTTATAAATTGTGATATTTCGAAGCGATAAACCCTTGACCACATTCAAGGTTTGATATTGAACGACTTTCAGAGCTTTCGAGCATTGAGGATTTTGTAGGGTTTGAGGCATTTTTGCTTTGCTGAATTTTCATAAGAAGGCTTAATAAGCTTAGAGGGCTAGTTGTGGAAGAAAAAATGATTTGCACTAAACCATACTTGCTCTGTCTTTATGTGATTGAATTTTTCTAAGAATTTGGAAATGTGAACTAGTGAACCAGTAACTGAAGGTGCTATTAGCATGCGCGCTGGAACCGCCCTTGATGTTTCCCGCTATTTGTAGAATTTTAAATCGAGTTAACGACTCTTTATGCATTAAATTTTGAGAATGAGCGAAAGTTACAGTGAGCTAAAGTTTCCTAAAGCAGAAAATAAGGGCTTAAAATTTTAGGAATCCGTTCAATAATTATGAGAAAAAATGGGCTGATTACCTGGTTGCTGAAAAGAGATAGAAAAGCTAAGTTTTAACAGTCCAGATGTTCGTCTATCATGATTCTACCGGGTTTTAGGAAAATTTGAATTGAAATTCGAAGAGTTCTCACTACTTTTGACTCAACCTACAATACCGCTCACAGAATGTGCAAAATTTCCGTGAATGTCGCAGAATTTCAGGAATTCCGCGAAGGTTCGCGAAATTTTGAGAATTTCGCCAAGTTCCTGGAATTCCGCAAAATTCCGGAAATTTCGCGAAATTCGTGTGAATCACGCAAATTACGCAGGACCATAATTTCTCCGAATGAGTACATTCAAAATTTGAAAACAGCATTGTATTCAGCTCGTCAAGGAGAATCTTTTCGTATACAGGTTGTGTCCAATACCTTGTTTTTAATAATCTTGAATTTGCACGCGGACGCCTTTTCGCGTGGGTGTAACGCAACGAGCATCGCACATAGGAGACTGCCGTGGGCACCGTTCGATAGCACTCTTTCACTAGATTATTGCGCGCTAAAGTGCAGTCGAAGACTCTTTTCTAAAAGAGACAGAAGAGCTGATAAACTCTGGAAAAATTAAGCTGTTCCAAGTTCTACTAGCCGTAACCCTTCAGAATGAACATCTTCGAAATCCGAAAGCAGCATTGTGTTCAGCTCGTCCAAGAGTAGTATACTGCATTCTTGTCTTGCTAAGCAAATGCTTTATAGCTTTTCACTTATAGCGCAGCGCATGGGAACGTTATTATGATCATCATCAGAGGTTCGATGACGAAGCTAAGAGGTGAATAAGAGTTACTTTGAGAACGAAGCAAGAGAATTGAATCGTTCCAACATTGTTCATTTTGAATTAGGTTGTTAGAAATTTAAAACTTGCGATAAGTTCCATCAGCTAGTATTAAGTCCTTTGATCCACCCTTTCATCTGCGCAGAGTCTTTTTCGAAAGAGCATCTCTGTGAAGAGTATGATTTTTGAGTAAGCGATAAGCCGGCAGGTTTGATTTTTTGCCATTTTTTTGAAATCTCTCTAGCAAATTTAGGTTTGTGCAAATCTTTTAAAAAAAGTTATGATTCTCCAAAAATGTTGCGACAGAACTTCTGCATAAACCTAATAATTTTCACTTTTCGGGCAGTTGTATTTTCTAATTTAAGGCTCTCAACTCGCGTATTGGTGGAACTTTGAAATCCTCCTCATAGAGCTTACTTTTCTCTATCGAATGGTAATCCTAAAATCTTTTTCTGAATAGAGAAAAATACGATTTGATGGGCTCTTATCAGTTTTTGTGCAAACTTATGCTCAAACCTGATAGCATAGCAGCGAATGTGATCACTGTAGATGCCGATTTATAGTAGAATCAAACCTGATCCAACTAACAATCAGTTGTTCTTTGATCGCAGCGGAAGCAAATGATGCACATATAGACAGTACTAGACGAAGGTGCAAAATCTAGGGGCGCAAACGCCGTTTTTTTAGCCGCAAAGCGCATGAGGTGCATGGTTTGAACAGTGAAGATGCCCGCGTATTTTGAGAACGTGTCCCTGTTGATAGACTGCTCTGGAGAAAACATTGTAAGAATTTTCTAGTTCATTTGGCGTAATAGTATTATCGAAATTTACTTATTCAGCAAAACTGAGGTCATCAATGTTGATTTTGATCCTGAGTGTTATATTATACTTGTATACAGCAAAACTAAGGTCATCCGTCTGAATTTTGGTTTTGAGTGTTATAATTTTATAAATTGCCAAACAAAAGACAGACAAAATTTCGAATCCCATTATGTTTACCCCAACAACCCAATGTTGACAGAATCTCTAATGTTTTTCACACCTATCCATTCCATGTTTATTTCAGAAGCTATAAGCATCAGTTCTTTATTGAAGGCATTCGGAACACATTTCGCTCCAGCGTAAACGAAAAGAGTCAGTGGCTGAATACATCTATGCAAATGAGAATATTTGAACAATTCACCACAAGAATGAAGTAGAATTGTTTCATATCTCTGTTGCCCTAATCTACAGGTTTGATTTATACCCTTTATGCGCACGCAAAATCAACTAGTATCATGTTGCTGAGAGTTCGGTGATTTTTAGTTACGTTCTATAAATGAACGTACAAATGACTATTGGTCGACTAATACAACACATTCTAGAAAAGAAGAAACGTACTTTATAGCACTAAAATGAATGATAGACATCAAAATGTTTGCAGAAGTAAACAGATTTGCTAACAATCACTCTCTCGCCTTTTGAGTTGATTGCACGAAACTGAAAACAATAACTAGTAAATTGTAAAAAGAAATTGCGTTCTCCCCACTTACAACTGCAAAAATAATCTCTGCAGAGCAACGTTGCCATGATTCGCTACTAATCGCAGGTATTCCACTCCCTAATCGCAGGTATTCCACCTTATAGGCAATTGAGCAACTACTAACAGTTTTCATGAGACAGTTGTAGTCTTCGTGATCAGAATACGCTTGACATTTTGATGTGTCGATTTACTCAATTCTACATAAAGTTTTATTCAAAATCTTTCCTTTCATATACGAATCCTATTCTCTTCTTGCAGTGTTGGTATATTGAGAGAAGGCGGTGTGTATACAGGAATGAGTCAACTGTATCTCTTTGACATATCCGGAACTTAGTTTGCCGATGCTGTTTGCAAGAATTGCTGTTAGCTATCGCCATGTAAAAAGTTTAGCCACACGTTGACTTGCGCAGGCAATATGACATGTTGGTTACATCAACCCCATTCGCTTGCGAAGGTGGATGTGCCCACTTTTCATTGACACCGTTCTCATTTTCTGATGTGTGTAAATGCTGTGCCTTCTTCTCAAGCAGCAATAATTTGTTAACAAGTTTTTTATCCAACGATTTTTAGCTTTGTTGTTAGCGAAAGGATGGTCCGTGGTAACCCCTCCCCATCTTCAATTCAGATGATCTAAGCTGAGGGCCTCGGTCGAGATTCGTAGGTTTAACTTACGCTGCCACTGCTCACGCTATAAAAATTCAAAAGGACCTGACAGGTGAGCGCCCGGGCAAATGCCGCGCTGATCTCATCTGATTAAGAGCAATGTCCGTTTTGGGATAAGACGTCTGAGATACGTGTTGAGATTTGTCGAAGTAGTGTGCAAGCGATGAAAATCAGAGAATCTATAAGTTGCTCTTGAGTGGCCGTGGCCTTTTGAATTCCTTATGTCAGGATATTCACCCTGAAACACTAATCTAAAAAATGTGTTTAACTGCGAAGTATTTTTTAGGACAAAATAGCGTCGGTCCCTAAACGTAATGGTCGCCACGCTAACGAAGAGCAAACCAGCATCGCTTATGTTATAATCCAATGCACCAAACCATCCGTCGTTTTCAACACATTCTTCTTTTCTGGCAATGCGACACATTTTCTCGTGTGTTTTCTGGTGTTCTACCTAATCAGGCTAGTATAACTCAACCACGAAAAATTGCGAAGACGTTACAACGAGCCAACCACAAAGATGCATTTGTTGCATTTCCACTATCGATCACACATTCAAATGGCGATCTTGTTAGTATTATATGAGGGAAAAAACAACGATCAAATGCACCAAAACCGCGCTGAAGAATTCGAAAACAGAATTCCTTCAGATACGGAAAAATGCACCCGGTTAACACTGCTAGCGTGTAGAGGAGCAAGTTTTTACGACAACAGCTTTTTTTGAAATTTCGGGGTTAAGGACTCGCAAAAATTTTGAGAAGCATACTAAAAAATTTTTTCGGAATGCGCGGCTAACGCCACGTACTTTACTCAGAAAATTTTTTTTAATGCTCCCCCCTTCCCTCTCCGAGATCCATGCGCTAATGTACGCTGACGATATCAAAATTTAAGCCATCTATAACAATGATAGTCGCCGTGATGTTCAAGTTGCACTTTAGCACGCTAACAATCTTATGGTTGATTGTTCAAAGTCTGGGATACTTCTGTGAATGTGAGCAAAAGTTCTGTCCTTCACATCGGAGAAGCAGCGATAACGAAATTTATTATGAGCATGCTGGAGAAACCCTGACCAAGAAAACATCAATCAAGGATTTGGGAGCACCTTTTAATAAATCTTTAAGACCTGACCTACATATTTAACGTAAGCTTTTGTGCAGTCTCTGTAGTTTACGTCATTCGTTCCTCACTTCGTTCGCAACACCACAATTGATGACACTAGAGTACCGTTGAAACTCTACAAAACCTTTGTTGTCCCTATAGTGGAGTATGCAAATCAGGTAGAGTCCTTCCCTAGTGATGGACAAGACCTTGGAAAACAAAAGGTTCAGAAGGTTTTCACGCGCCTCTTATTCTATCGCTGTTTTCCTAACCCGATTTTCTCTATCGATGCTCAACTATGAAGAACATTTACGAAGACTTTTCCTCAAAAAGCTCTCTTATGGTAGGCTTGTTCATGACCTAGTAACAAACTGCGGCCTTCCAGGTACTGAGTTTTCAAACCTACCCATGGAAGAACTGGTTGTTTCTTTAATTATCATAACAAATTGGTGAGCGTAAGAAATCAACTTTAGCAAAGACTGCTTCTATCGAGCAAAGAAACTGATGCAATTTTTGCCGAAAGAGTTTTAGCGTGTAATAACAGCATCTCGTTTAAACGCCAATTGAATCAGCTAAGTTTGAATGAAATCATTACAGATAGTGCTGATCCATCATTCATATGGTCGTAACTTTAACCACGTGCAACTGCCTATCATCTGGGCCCAGTGGCGTACCCAGGATTTCGGCTCGGGGGGGGGGGGGGCGACAAAAATTTTTTTCTAATGAAGGTGCGGTGGCGTTAGCCACGCACTTCGAAAAATTTTCTGGGGTGCTTCTCAAAATTTTTGAGGGTCCGCGACCCCTAAAATCTGGAAAAAGGGGCGTGGCGTCAGCCACGCCCCCGAAAAAATTTTCTCTATAAAGCTAAAATGAATTTTTAAAAAATTTAAAAAATTATTTTAATTATTTACAAGTGCAGACAAGTCATTTGCACAATTTTATAACCCATATAAGTAACTTTCAAAAATTTCGCGACCCGTTCTCGGGGGGGGGGGGCGCGCCCTCCCCGCCCCCCCCCCCCCCTCGGTACGCCACTGTCTGGGCCTTGACTATTCACTGAATGAAGAAGATCGAAAATAGTGCCTTGATACAATTTACTGGTCTTGCCGGTTTTTTATACAAGCTCTCATTTTATCACCATGATCGAGTCAACTAGTATACCTCTCTTATCTAAAACTAAAATACATCTTGCTAGTTTAAGCTAGTTTAAGCTTACAACTTGGAACCGTATACTCTTTTTCATTGGGGTCATTGAAACTTTCCTCAGCAGATTGGTGTAGGCATGGCTGGTCATAATATCTGCCGCGACAGCCAAGCTTCCAGTTGCTCTTCCAAATAGTTCAAAATCGTTTTTTTGCTGACAAACTGGGGACATAGAGACCATCTCCTTGTATTGAGCTAGTTCGTACTACTGTCACCCCGTATATAATATGTTCATGCCAAAACCTATATTTATACAACATCCATTCGTCCATGCAGGTTGTCCCTTATTATCCTCTTACCAGCTTTTAGAGCTGCCTCCAATCGGCGTGATGATCTGTTTTGTTTGTTTTTTACTCATTTCAGTTGATATTGATTTGCATTGTTTTTTCTCTTTCCTTCTCGTGGAACGAAATGTTAAAAGAAATGAAATGAAAATGATGTTTTTTCTCAAAGCCACGTTCCGGACAAGATTTTTCCCCTGCCTTGGGTGAAATGGACATTTCAATGCCGTGCATACTTTGCCAAAGATAAGCGACAGGAAGAGATGCCTACATTTGCGAGAGATCCATTACATTACCATACTTTGTGAGCTTGTTGTGGTACAATTCAAATGCCTCAACCTGGGCAGAAATAGCATGCCTTTTACGACATGCAAGCCGCAGACTTCAGTTACACCAGGAACAAACTCAAAAGAAGTTGCTTAGTTCTCATCTTTCATCAGAAGAATTATCCAAACAAGAATTGCTTGAATGCCCAAAGATGTGACGAAACGTTGCGCGAAAGAAAAACCCATTCTGTTACTTTGCTGCGCTCTAAAGGGTGACCTACTTTTTACAATTATTTATTATTTCATTTCAATACGCTTTAAGGCGTGCTACAAAAGCGAGGGATATAAAGCTTAGACTGTGTCACAGGAGACGAAATCAAAAAACAATGGATTTTTATTCGGTTTAATTTAGGTCTAGTTGAATACTGGAGAAAATAAGAACATCAAAAGCACTAAAATAAGAACATGAAAAAGCACCAAGAATTTGCAGAATAGGCACTGCCAAAGAAAATGTAGATTTGATGAGCTTGTGCTAGGTGGTGGTAGGGTGAAGACAATTATGAAAGAATGATGAGTGGAAGAGCGGACAGAACGAGATGAAAGGAAAAATGAGGGACTGAACGAAACCTCCAGATCTCCCTTTTAGAGATAATAACAATGATGTATCCCATTTTTCAGTGTCAGAAGAGTCGAAGTGATGGAGCAATTAAATAGACCGTAGTATGCCGGTACGGTAGATGAGTTATGTGTAAAAGTAAGAGACATTAAGAATAGAGTGATGATGAATGGTAGTCCAACGTATGAAGATTAGACAAGACATTTCGTGCTAAGCTGTGCGGCTTATGTAGCAGCTTCGACAAACCCACTAGACCTAAGGTCGAAAAGATGGCTACTGAGCATTGTTTACAATGAAGAGGTTGTTGTCGATTCTGAAATATTTATTTGTACGTTCTTTGCAACAAAGAACATACAAATATGCTTCGAATTTTCTCGACCTATGCCGCTTCGTTTTTAGCGGCTTGTCTGTTAAGTTAATACTATTCCGGGCTAGAGTCACTCAAGTGATAATACTTTGCGAAGTTGATTCGGCGAACCACAAAGAATGCGCTGATTGCAAATTTTACCACCAATCATCGCAGACAAAGAGTATTGAAAATTTTCTGAAAATGAAAACTGGGAGCCAAGCGAAGGATTTTAGAGGAATTTAGAGCCATAATGTTGTTAGGTTTTGCTTTGTACACCATAATATTGAACTTAGAAAATTTCTAAACCTAGATGGACTTAAACAGCCTCAAGAAAACACGATCTGATCGACATTGAACGCTGCAAAGCGCAAAAATCAAATAGGATAATACATCAGCAGCGGATCTCTTCCACGTTTTTTCTTGGACTAAACAGTTTATCTGGACTTTCGAATCTCAAGTTTAGCTTAGTCGTTTTCCGCATTGATCTTCCTTTATTTCGAAACAATTCTCAAAAAGTACTCTCAGCACCCACTTCTATTCAGACACCGACTTCATTGATTCACATTGATTCACTTCGATTTATCTGACTCCCTTCATTCACATTGAAATGTTGCAAGCTCCTTATCCGCAACTTCGTTGCGGACGAATTTCCTCTTAGGTTTTTTTTATCCTCTCAGGATGAAGATCACTAGAACCGTAGCTCTGAGTACCTAACAGGGAATGCATGTTTAGTCAAAGTGGCCTTTTTAGATGGAATGTATAAGGGCTGATTCTAATTCTGGTTTCCTTATCTGCGGAGCGTTTATAGACGAGGAGTTCTGAGCGCTTATTGGAGCAAAAAATTGAATGTACAAGTAGGACAGAAATAGCCATAATACTTTCTCTAGCCCTTCAATGGAGCAATGATAATCGCCAGAGCACTTTATTCAACAAGTACTCTCAAATAAGAAGTATATCACTCTTGGTTGCTTATTTGGGGGCTAGTAAGATTTTAGCATCTCATTTTATCCAAAATGTGCATTCAATTTTTGACTCCAACAGCGCTCATGACTCCTCGTCTATAAATGTTCTGCAAATAAGGAAGGCAGGTTGTCAGCGTTTTATACCCTTTAGTATGTTATACATCTCATTTACAAAGACTACTTCGACTAAGCAAGCTTTCCTTGTAAGAATAAGATGTACTCACACTGTATGAAGGTTTTGTTGAATAAATTCATCTATCCGAGTGCGTTGCCCACGTTCCGTCTGGACCATTGTCAAAACAGAACTAACAATAAGAAGAAAAGTTTGGTGACACAAAAAAAGAGATATACAAACTACAGATCTTTTTAGACCTCTGATGAAAACGAGTTTGTCGAAAACGTAGAGTCAATAAAAGTTTCACCAAGCCAAACGAGTTAAAAGTAGGAATAGAGAATTTAAAGTAGAAGACAGTCCTATCAATATTCGAAACTGATGCCGTTTATTGTTTCAATGCTTTGAATATCAATCACATTTCGTATGCTGTATGTAACAGATTGGTGGATATTTTTGCTGCTGGCAAATACCAGTAATAAAAATGATACCAGGTAAGTACTTTTCGCAACAATTCGGGTAGTGCTTTCACTTCTAGATATAGAGCAACTTGTTGCATTTTCCTCTTTTCCTACGAGAACGAAGTATTATCCTCTGATCGACAAGATTGGTGGCTGGAAAGCGACCGCTGGCGCTCGTGACGCAGTCTGCGTCACTCTCGCGAAAGTGCTCTCTGATCACTCCCTAGCCTCAATTAGGTCACAGAACCCCGACTTCCAGCCGTTAATCCAGTTGAGTCAGAGGGTAGCTTGGCTAGTGAATAACTTCATTCTGACATACCTACGAAACTCTATAACAAATCAAATAGCTGCTAATTATTTGATGATTTTTTTGTGAAAAATTTCCACTATCACACTCAATTATTCATTGCTCCATTAGTAGCAAATGGAAGATGTTTCTATGTAGCTGACCTCATGAAAAGAACTTCTCAAACATTTTAAATTTTGTTTTTATACTATGAATGCGCGGACGTGTAAACTGTCAGTTGGTTACATACATCGCTGGCTACACGGCAAAATTAAAGATATTGCTTTGCAGTTTCTAAACTCCTATAATCAAAAATGTGCGAATTTCCTGACATTTTGAACGGACGTCAATGCAGTCCAGATCGCTTGATGATTTTTTTGACCACGCAAATGATTGAATATCATTGATGCGCTAATTTTTTCTCAAACAGCTTGGATTATTCTTTTCAACAATACCACACTTGTTTGAAAGTTTGTTTATAACATTTTTGCAAGTCGCCGAAAACGGTGAAGCTATGTTTAAGCTATCATTACCATCACATTCAGGCAGCATAGATTACATGCTATTCATCTTTGAAAGCGGTGTTTTCGTATGTGACTACAGACGCGGATTCACAACATAGATTACCAAACCACAAGTATCAGCAAACACTGACATCATTTGATCGTATCCACATATGCTAACACCTTTACATATCAAAAATGCGTACTTTTCCCCCCATGTACTTCTCTTGTAGAAATCAGCCTCATTCTTGGGTAAGAGAGACACGCTCCTATACTCACATTGATAAAAGATAATTCTGAACCAGCTCTATATGTGAGTGATTGTCTTCCTTAAGCAAAAACATTACTGTCAAAACTTTTTGACAGTCAAACTGACATTTCGGTAGCATCACTCTATTTGAGCCTTGGCAAAAGCTTCTGAAGGTGACAGCAGCGAGATGTTAGACGACTAATAAAGAGTTATACGCCTTGGTTTTAATTGAAGAGAATGATCACAAATTACAAAACTATACCAAAATTCATAAAAAAAATTGATCTTATAATCTTTTCAACTTCGCTTTGTTTGTACACGGTGTAATATCGTGCTCGGACCCAAAAAAAACGATCGAATAGCTTCTTCACCAACTAAAAAACATCTCGCAAAGCGTTAAAATGCTACAAAGCAGTTTCTTCTTTGAGATGTAGGGTATTAAAGGCGATAAGTCAATAAAGATTATCACTTTGAGACTATGAGAGAGTAGAGAGACTGATAACTCCATACGTCCGCTTTTGCGTTCAAATTCGGCAATATCTCTCTGTTACACTTGGGTCCGAATCGAATAGAAATTCGATCATTCGAATAAAACATTCGAATATATTCGTATTCAAAATTCGATATTCGCAGTTCTTCCATTTTCGAATAATATTCGAAACTCGAATAATTGAGAAAACGGGGTTTCGAGTAAAATTCGAAAACTCGAATAATCAAAAAACAGGGTTTCGAATAGATTTTATTCGAACGTTTCATTCGAATGTTTATTCGAATTCGTATTCGAATGAACTCCGTATTCAGACTATTCGACTTTGTTGCAGAGCCAACTGCTGAGTATCAAGCTCACTTCGTGCGCGTTCTTTTTTCGCAAAACTCAATAATGCATCTTTTGCAACCGTTATGATCTTTAAACTGTATGGAGGGTCGCATTCTTCCGACTGGTTGACAAAAAATCATATGTGGATTCTAATTTATGCTTTTTTGATCAATGAGATTGTTCGCACTGCTAATGGCAACAAATCAGCAAAGAAGCTATCAAATTTAAGTTCATGTTCCGAGTTGATATATTGAAAGTGTTTTGAAGTGCTTGTTTCTTTCTTTGCATTGTTCATGCTTGTGGTACGCAAAGCCCACACTAGTGAGCTTGCTCGCATAAGTTATGTTGCACAACTGCCTCTATTCGTTACCTTGGAGTTTTTTGCGAATTGCTGTATACTGAGTAAAGGACATCGCAGTTGTAGTGGAGGATTAGACGGTTTAGATCGCCGTACGCGATTTGCCAGTTACGAGGTATCTTCAAATGTAACGCCAGCTTACCACAAATGTTTTGGGGGGGGGGGGGGGGGGGGAGGGGTAAGTGAGGGTGCTGATTATGAATAAAAATTCACTTCATCGATCTTGTCGATTTTTTGTTTTGAGCTAGGAGTTGGTATAGGGAATACGAGGGTGCTGATTATGAATGGATCGTTTTAGTCAGATATGTGGGGCAAGTTCGAGATACGGTTGCTCTAGTTATTCGATAAATCATTCGAATATCTATTCGAAATTCGACTTCCGATGTTTGAATATATTCGTTATTCATTCATTCGACATTTTTGATTTTCCGAATTTATTAGAGAATTCATTCATTCGAGAATTTTTGAACTTCGAATTTATTCGATATTCGTTTATTCGAGATTTTTTATTTTCGAATTTATTGAATATTCGTTTATTCAAAATTTTTCTTTTTCGAATTTATTCGATATTCATTCATTCGATGAAAAATTTTCAAATTACCCAAGTATACTTCCTACCTTGTGACAAAGACACTACGTAAATCTATTTCGCTCCAATTTGTTTATAATTCACTTTGGCACAAATAATCCATATGGATGAACATTAGCAAAATATCGGTCTCATTTACAGGAAGTTCGAGAAGATTGCTGATTCCTACAAAGGCTTAGTCCCAGAAAATTGTCAATTTGAGTATGCACTTGTGGCCAGCGATAAGATTTGGGTTTTTGGAAGGAGATGTAAAGAATTTTTTTTGAAATTTTTCTAAAAAATTAACAGTGATTTTAGACGAGGATCAAAAGACGTTCGATCGAGGTCATATTGTAGCGTACGTTGGAACTTACGCAATTGCTTTCAATACAGCTGAGAATAAATGGGAAGAGGCTAAGCCTGTGAGTTTATTCAAATTTGAAAACTTTACTCAAAAAATATCGAACGTTCACGGTTTGTACTTCGCGCAAATGACATCTCAGTATCTGCAGAAAAAGTGCATATAAAATGCTTGTGGATATTTTGACTTTTGCCAAAATTTCGCCAGTATTTGCCAAAATTGAAGAATGCACAGCAATTTCCTTGGCGCTATTCCACATTACTTGACCCAAAAAGTGAAAATTCTGAAATTCGCTAAAACTTTAACTAGGGAGGTTATTTGATACGCTGAACACGAATATGATGTTTAATTCGCACGGTAGCGCCATCCGCTGGAGATACGGTGGGGTTACGGTAGGGGGTCAAAATCACAGATTTGCCCGAAACTTAGTTTAGAGGGGTTATTTAGCATGCTGTACACGAATATGATGTCTGTTTCGTGCGCCAGCGCCATCCGGTGGAGTTACGGTAGACTTTCCGGCAAATTCGTGTTTAACCCCTACCGTAATCCTACCGTAACTCCACGGATGGCGCCACCGCATGAAATAAACATCATATTCGTGTTTAGCAAACCAAATAACCTCCTTAGAAGAAGTTTAAGCGAAATTTAGATATAAATGTTCCGATAAATGAAGGTCATCTCTATCACTCTCCGCTAAAATTCGTCCTAATGTTCAGTGAGCCGGATGTTTGACACTATCGCACGAGTCACTTACTACCAACTAACTTGTGTATTCCTCAATGAATCGTTGAAAACTCGGCTTAGTCATACTTCTCTTCATCTGCAACGCTATGCAAACCCAAGTAGTGGCGCTATCCGGTTGTCGAAACAAAATTCCATAATTTAGAATTTCGTTCGAACATGGTTTCTGCGCACACCGTAAAGGGGTAGGGGATATTTGAGTATCGACTACATATATCACGATCTTTTCGGTCCACATCGTGTATAGGTCAAATATGTGAAATCGCAAAACATTTTGGGAATAATATATAAACTGGTCCCAAAAGTAAGTACACACTTTTCAACCGTTAATATCTCTCTTCCCATTGTGTCTTTTTCCGCCATTCAAATGTCAATCTGTAGAGGAGGCGTCAGCTTAGATTTGCAGTATCGAGCGAATTACCGTTCTCTCTTCATTACTGTAGGATTACTGTAGGAACTTCGACAACGATTTCAGGCCGTTGCAAGCCATGCTCTGCCTCGGAACAAAACCAAACAAGCCAAGAACTCTTATAATATGGTAATGGAAGCCGCTGATTCCGAATATGAAATTTCCATTCTACCATGATGCTTCTTTCAAGTAATCTCAGGTAAAGCGTAATAACCGAATTCCCAGAATCTTTCAGAAATGTGATAACACCGTCAAAAAGAGAAAACACACGTAAAAAGTTGTATAGTGGAATCAGCGTAAGCGAAAACCTTAGTAGAGATATTTTTGATTTTTTTAAAAAAAATTTGTCAGGTGGCATATTTCACAATGATTCCACATGCTGGAAATTCTTATCGTAATCCTACAGTAACGAAGAGAGATCGGCGATTCCATCGATACTGTAAATCTAAGTTCTCTAGGCAAATAACTCTAACTCTCTAGGCAAAACTTCTGCAATCAGATTCGTAATTTTCTAAACTGCTTACATTTTCAAGAAAGACCTTGCGTTTCAGAAGTTTGCCTGGACTTCTAGGTCATGATAAGCTCGGAATGGAGGCTGCACGTCCAGTGCCATGAGCCACTGTGCAGTGAAAGTTTTGACAAAAAGTCCTTCGACTAAGTGCCTAGCTTCAAAAAATCTATCTGAGGCTCAAAGCCACAATTACAATATCAACATTAGAACACCAGGGCGAATTTCATAAAGAGTCGCACGTTCAACCTATCTGAAATTTTGGGTCACTTATCACCTATATTTTTTCGCTACCATTCTCTTTTTCGCACTTAATTTCAAAAATCTCGTATGACATTGAAAGAAGATGTGCCCACTAAAAGGCAGAACCATAAGCACTGAATTGTTTCGCACAACGTAAGCTCCTCTCGTTGTACTCATTCTCATCGCTTCCCTCCCTTCATAAAAGGACGCGAAAAGATTGAGTGAAAGCATTGGTGGTTCAGTGGTAGAATGCTCGCCACCCACGCGGGCGGCCCGGGTTCGATTCCCGGCCGACGCAATCTTTTCTTCTTCGAATATAAAATTACGCGTCAATGATAACGACAACCATCTATCGAAATTTTGCGGAATCTTGGGCAGAATCGGGAAATAACCGCTCACGCTTGCAACGATAAATTTGCCAATTGCGCCTGAGAAAATTCAAAAGAAATACACAAGGCACGCAACAAAAAAGTAATCGCATGTAATATCATCCGCACTTAAATAATGGGGACACCAAAAAAATGTCTGTGAAATCAGTGCACATTATGCGTCACAGAATCTTGGGTTTTTGCTGAGACTGTACACAGTTTCTGAAAGCTTTTTCGTTTTGAGTTTTTCTGAAAGCAGATGTGCCCAGTCAAAGGTAGTATCATAAGCACTGAATTGTTTCTTACAAAATAAGCTCCTCTAATCAGATATTCGCCGGAGGCAGGCGGAGCGCAACTCGCTCTTTTTTGCAGGCGGTCAGCAGAATTTTAGGGCGTGGCCAAATCTTCTTCAGCGGGCAGTAGTTCCTTTACTGTCGCATCTATACTCCATTTTCTGTAGGCGTTCGTCAAATGATTTCTTTCACCGAGCGCTGACGAAATTTTCAGCAAGCGCTCTGACTCTTGTCACGCAGTTTCGAGCGTACCCGAGCAGAGGTAACACTCTGTATGGCAGATATGTCATCGTTAGTTTGATTACCCAAGTTTGAGGTACTTTCTCTTAGAGGAAGGTACCTACGTGCTGTGCGGTCTTTCTCAACGGACCGTGCGGCCCCCGGTAATTCTGCATACTCTCGCGGAGAGTCCGCGGATTGCGGCCGCTGCGCCGCAACCAATCCATGAAAAAGCCGCAATTGTTCTCCGAGCATTCGCCTAAAATTTCGCCAAAACTCTTCCGAATATCTGCAAGCGGACCGCAAGAATTCAGCGAACTATTTTTTCGGTGCCCGCCTGCACATATATCGCATGGCTGCCTGCCCCCAGCGATTATCTGAGCACTTGTACTCATTCTTATCGCCTCCTTCTCTTCATGTGCGAAAGGAAGCGATAAGAAGGAGAAAGGAAGCCAAATATTCGACCACAAGCATAGGTGGTTCAGTGGCAGAATGCTCGCCTGCCACGCGGGTGGCCCAGGTTCGATTCTTGGTATGCCAGCTTTTCTTCTGCGCTTATAAAATTACGCGTTATGTTAACGACAACCATTTGTTGAAATTTTGTGGAATCGTGGACAGAATCGGGAAATAAACCGCTCACGCTTGCAACAATATAATTGCCATTTGCGCCTGAGAAAATTCAAAAGAAATACACAAGGCACATAACGAAAAAAAATCGCATGAAATATCATCCGCGCTCAAGAAATAGGGACACCAAAAAACATGTTTTTTCCATCTCAGTCTGTGAATCAGTGCACATTGTGCATCTTCGAATCTTAGGCTTTTGCTGAGATTGCACACAGGTTCTAGTTGAGAACCTGTTGTTCAAGTTTCCTGCCTGATAGAGTTATTGTGAATGTGTGGTTTAAAGGGGGGGGGGGAAGTGAGAAAAACTGGAATTGTTGAAATTTGGATGACAAATACTAACTTCAATCGCTTTTGAAAGTTTTCTAAGCTGACGTGACGAACAGCGAGGGATATGCGAATTTGAGCGGAATTTGTGATTTGAATGCTTGGCGCGTAGCCAACCAGTGCCAATTTCAAATTATATAACCTATAACGTATGGGTCAATGCTGTCTTCTAATCTGTACTGTTCAAGTCACATGAATTATTTTGAAATTTTTACTTTAGTTCCCCGCCATATCAAACGAAGAGAATCTTGATGAAAAGCTCTTCGTTCACAATGAAACTCCCTACATGCTGCTCTATGCCGCATTTGGTAGTATTTCGCTGAAATCTCTTCACAAATGGAACGGAACTTCGTTCGAGCCAGTTAATTTGCAAGTATGCTTAGCTTTCGCGTTAGATTGTAATAGCCATTTTTCTATTACTATTCAGAGTTTCGATCCCATTTCTGGTTCGGAAAATTCGGTCAACATCAATCTTCAAATCGCTGATAGTCAGGATGACAATACAAAATACATCATAACTACAATGGAACATCGAATGAGAGTGGCCCGTTTGACTTTCACTGGCAATGGCGCCAAAGCTGAACATCTTTTCGACATATCAATAGATGATGGAGAATTAGCCGTACATGCTCCTACAGCTAGTTTTTCTTATATATTTACGAAATATGTATGTTCAGTCAGCAGAGGCTACATCAGCCGTTGTCACTAGCTCACGACTGCTTGTTTTCTATGGTGTCACAGACTGCGGATTCCGATGGACGGCCGAAAGAATTATTGCTTGCAATTTGAGCTCAAAAAACTGCGAAAAACTAAATGTTCGTCTTTTTTTTGAAATTACTGTTTAGTAAAACATACGAATCGTCTTCCAGATCAATTCCGATCCGAGGCCACCGTGGGAAGTTGGTGCTCGCAGTCATGCTCTATTGCCTTCTGGTTCCTGGATTCATGCCGCAGGAGGTATTCGAAAGGGTAAATCCTACATATTCAGCATAATCAGGCATCACATAACTTGACTTCCAAACGCAGAATCCATCAAAATTCGTTGAAACTTAGGGAGATTACTTGATCACGGATATATATCAAGTTCGCAGTCTAGCGTCTGGGATTACGGTGGATATACGTAGGTAAAAGAACTATTTTGGGCTTAAGATTTTCCTATGAGATTTTTCAGCATGCTGATTATCTTTTTATGAGCAACGTTGAAAACATGACGAAGTGATTTGGGTCTTCTTCCGGGCAATGCTGATATTACCAGGGCACATGGCACCGGGTCAAGCTGTATATCGTTTTTACGGCGAAAAAGCGAAGGGGATAACGTTTTTGTGGCCGAAAAGACACAAAATTGCAACGTTTTTCTAGTATCGTCTTTTTTAGGCTTTTTACATTTAGGGTTTACGGTCAAAGAAAACTTCGTACGTTTCAAAATCAAAGGGGACTTCGTTTCAAAATCTCCTTGGTGCCAGATCTTGCCCAGCCCTGATTCTTACCTATTCGGAATTTGCACCCAGCTGCCGTAGAGAATGCAAGAATCTTAAGTTTCTGAAATGACTAATGTCAAATAGTGTCGATATGCACACAGTTACGATCGATCGTTTTAGGACTGACTGGTAGTGAGTATGATGGCAGCGTTTGGGAGTTGAACAACCTGAGTTCATCCCCTACATGGAAGAAACTTGAAGTAGAAATTCCCAGTAAGGATGGCGGAGAGATTGTAGTCGACCCTGCACATGGAACCATCTATCTCATTGGGAAGACTCAAATCAGCAAAGTGAAATTCGCATAATGGTGCCTCAATTTCTCCATGTATTCCCTGATAAGCTAAGCATATCCCTACTATGTCATTTGAAGTGATTATGAGTTATGTGTGATTATGTGATATTCCAGCTTACTGGGTGATAATGGTTTGTGAGTCACTAAAATAAATATGCCGTAAATCCAAATTAACAACCAATTATCTGGGCTTCCAGTCTTTTCATCTTTTACAAAAAAAAACTATAACACGGACATTGCAAGAATCGTAAGCAAAAATATTACTATATTGTGCAGTAAACAAATTTACTATCTTGCAGAAATTATTCTTTACTCGTAGTCAACGCAGTTCCCTCGGTCAGTGGGCCACAAAAAATCTGAGATCCAAATCTTGATAAAGTATTTTATACACCTTTCCATGAACGCAGTTTCACAAAGCTAAGTGTACACACATGGTATGCACGCCATTTGTAGATTTAGGCATAAAAATTCAGCTCGAACTTGGCAAATTGTGCCCTTTCCCTCCTCGTTTTCTCCCCTGTCAATCCTCCGATATACCTAAATTTCTTCTTGCATATAGTATACTACGTTAGTCAAAAGTGTTGCGAACTCAACACCTCTTCTTGCACAGATACCAGGGTTCGGCATAGGTGGCTTATAAGCAAGCTGGATATCATTTTCTAAAATGCAAATGGGATGTCATTTTTTGTGGCCGAAAAAAACAGCTTCGGTTACGCTTTGTTTAGTCGACGTTTCGATTTATTGAGGGTTTTTATACGTTTTAGGGTTTAGGGTTAGGGTGAAAGGGGACTTTGTGAAATTTTGCGAAAATCAAGGAGGACTTCGTTTTTTGCATGTTCGGAATGCCACCTTATGCTGATCCCTGTACTCGAATCTTATAAAATACTAGCTGGCTTACCCGGCTCCGCCGTATCCGGACCAAACTTGGCACACATACACTTCGGACCCCGGCGGGTGTCACAGTCCACTTTTCGTTATCGATCGATATCGATTTTACCGATTTTTATCGATTTTTTGCAGAGTTCACCTACAGGGCTAGGAGTTGGCGCAGGGGGGGAAGTGAGCATGGGGATTCCGAATACAATATTAGTTTTCAGAATTATCGATTACTTTTATTGATTTTATCGATTTTTTGTAAATTTTGACATGCGAGGCTGGGATTTTGCACAGGGGGGGTAATCGAGCATGCTGATTACGAACACAATATTAGTTTTCAGGATCATCCATTACTTTTATCGATTTTATCGATTTTTTTGTAAAGTTTGACCTGCGGGGCTGGGAGTTTGCACAGGGGGGGGGTAATCGAGCATGCAGATTACGAATACAATATTAGTTTTCAAGATCGTCCATTACTTTTATCGATTTTATCGATTTTTTGAAAATTTGAGCTAGGGGGCTGGAATTTGGCACAGGGGTGTAATCGAGCATGCTGATCACCCCCCTTGGGAATGATCAGCATGCTCGATTACCCCCCTGTGCCAACTCCCAGCCCCGTAGCTCAAACTTTGCAAAAAAATCGATAAAATCGATAAAAGTAATCGATAATCCTGAAAACCAATATTGTATTCGGAATCCCCATGCTCGATTACCCCCCTGTGCCAACTCCCAGCCCCGTAGGTGAACTCAGCAAAAAAATCGATAAAAATCGATAAAATCGATATCGATCGACGACGAAAAGTAGCCTATGACACCCGCCGGGGCCCGTAGCGTATGTGTGCCAAGTTTGGTCCGGATCGGTTCAGGAATGGAATTTTCTATTCGGAACATACGTACACACAGACAGACATACAGACAGACAGACAGACAGACAAACAGACATTCAGCTTTATATATAAGATCGGTAGAAAAGTCCTCCAAGCATTACAGGCGCAGGTTTTCTTTCTCTTTCCAATAGCTAATGTTTTAGATCTTCCCACAATCGCTGGAATAATCGCAGAAATTCCGAACCCAGTCTGCATTCAAACTTATAGTAATTGCGATTAGCTGTGTCCAAAACTTATGAGTTGTGATTTTTAGACGCAGTAAACGCTTGACCACTTTGTAGAATTAAGGTTTGATATTGAACAATTGTCAAAGCTTCAAATTGAAAATTCTGTAGGGTTCTGGGACATTTTTGCTTTGCGCAATTTCCTTACGGAGGCTCAAAAAGCTTCAGAGGGCTAGTTTTGGAAGACTTAAAGTGGTTTGTGCTAGACAATGCCTCCTCTGTCTTTATGTGACCATACTTTTCAGAGAATTTGGAAATGAAAATTTTGAGATTGAGCTGAAGTTACAATGAGCCAAAGTTACCTAAAGCAGAAATGAAGGGCTCATAATTCTAGATATTTTTTCAATAATTATGAGAAAAATTAGGCCGATCACCAGAAGAGGAAAAGCTACGTTCAAATAGTCCAGATATTTGTCTACCATAATTCTACCCGGTTTTGGGAGAGTTTGAATTGAAATTCGAAAAGTTCCCATTACTTTCGACTCAACCTAGTATTACCACTTTTGGGCATGTGTAAATTTGTCAGAAATAACACTGAAAAGAAAAGCTCCAAGCTTACGGCGTCTAAGATATCAAATCAATGCTTTTATAGAGATAGTATTTGATATGATAGCTATTTTGACTTTTATAGAGGCTTTTGTTCTGAATATTGATGACTTCACGCCTTGGAGCTTTCATTACGGATATATTTGATGAGCATGTAATTCAGCTCGTAGTATTTATGGGGCCAAGAAACTGCAATCTTCAAAAAAAAAACTTTTTTCTATTTTTGTTATGTCCTTTGGGCAGAAAGATTTGGTTTACCGCGATACAAGCAGTGTTTGATGAGATGCTCAGGCGGAACTGATGGCGCAAAAAAATACATCTTCGTGTGATTGTTCCCAATTCTCTGAGCTTCATATATTTTTCCACTCATTATACTTGCGGGGCAGCACAACTATTTTTTGTCAGGTGTTCAGAGCTGAAGCCATCAATTAAAGAAGCAAAAAACAATTGGAAGGCGCACTTATAAAAAAAACTGTATAAGAAGGAAATTGTAATGCAGTATGAGTTCTTATAATCAGAACCAAACTGATGAGGAAGAATTTAGGGCATGGAAATCTTTGCTCCTCCTTCAGATCAAAAAGTCTGGAAGTTTCCGGAAATCTAGTGTCCAAAAGGTATTTGCCGGAGTGCAAATATTCATTACAGTCACCTCCCAAATGTAGCGAAATATCAAGCATATGGGTAAAATTCCTCTAATCATTCTCATCGGTGATTCATATCCAAGTGAGAAGCCGTAGACTGATACCATCGACAAGGCTTAATCAGGAAGATGACGAGGAACAGATATGGAGTAATTCCCACTGCGTACTTTCATTTGTTTCAACAACACGCCATTGAGCATGCACTGGATTCAATTCAATAAAAAAGTTTTCTTTGCAATATGACACAAAACACAGTCGACTGCAAAATTTTAGAATGATGTTTACGAGAGTTATGAAATTCTCTGTCAAGTTCAACGAGTTTTTCCTTTTCAGTGTGGGGCAAAAAAGCTAGATATTTGTTTTCTTCCAAGCTAAGTCTTGCGATATCATCATCATCTTCCAGATCGATTCCGATCCAAGAGTGGGGTTCCATTAGTGCTCACTCACATGCTCTAATGTCTTCGGGTTCCTGGATTCATGCTACAGGGAAAATCCCAAAGGATAAATCTTATTCGGGTTTAATCAGGCAATAATTCACATAATTTGACTTCCAAACACAGAAGCTCAAAATTTTTGAGACTTAGGGAGATTATTTGATCATGAATCTTTCAAGATGGCGCGGTAACGTCTGAAATTACGGTGATATACGGTGGACAAGTAGAAAATTCGAATCTATTCAAAACTTTGGCTAGAGGAATTCTCCAGCATCAATCGACTTCTCTGAGCTTGCAACATGGGTGAAAACATAATCGAAGTAAGCCTCAGTATTCCTTCGGAGGATACTGATATCATTAATACCATATCATGCCATTTGTTTTGTACCTACCGTAATGCCGAAAAATTGCGCTATTTTATATTCATTAGCAAACCTATTGACCTCGGGCAAAGTCTTAACGGAATTCAAAATTCTGAGTTTCTTTGAATCTTGATTTTTGGGTTAACTATATGAGTTAATACTATATATTAGGTTGCTGCATAAATTCTGTCCGATTTGCATTTTTTTTAGTTCAGAATGTCATAACTTCTTTCAAAGTCAACTTTTTTTCCCAAGGTCTTGGTTTCTATGTGTTGTGCAATTCCTCGGCTATCAGATACAGATTGAAACTTGCGAAAATCCTTGTTAAGGAAGAGGCAAGAACTCTAAAACTTCACAACGTTTTTTCAAACCTGTCTTTTTTGACAAATGCTCTCTTATGAGAAGCATCTTATCTAACAACGGATAGATAGAGAAATTTTCGTAGATTATTTTGTATCATAAAGGAGCCCATAAGGTCTGCGTTGCCGAGAGATTTTTTTGACCGAGCAAAAAAGAAGCCACTTTTTGACCTCGAATCAATGCATATGCGCATACCTAATTACGAATAATGAAAATTTTGCAATTGACGTGAGAGCCAAAATGAAATTGGTGGATGATATCTGCTAGCCCTTGCTTTACCTTAGCACCTCCAACTTTGAAGCCGTCGATTACTTCCACTCGCAGGAAGTTATTGCTTGTAAAACATCTGTACAGAAAATTAATGAATTGAAATGAATTTTACTAGCAAGACGTTTTCTTCAGGAAACTGAACTTATGCGTATCCTAGCTTGTTACACCCTTATTCCGCAACCAATTAAAAAACTTGACTTGAAGGACGCATTGTGGAGGTTTCCCCGCAAGAACATATTTCTAACAAGGAGAGGATACTTAGTCGAAAGCACCAATTCAGATGAGACACATATCATCTTGAAGCGCTTTAAACGCTGATTTCAAATCTGCAGTTTCTAGCTGCGGAGCGGTTTTGTAGAAGGAGTTATGAAGTGTGTTTTCCTCTGGGGGTTTAGACGCGTTCCAGCGGTCTCCCCTTATCTGTAAGCACTGTAGAGGAGTATCAGCTGATGGCAACTGACCTAATGGTAAGTAACTTGAATGAAGATTACAGCAAAGATTACAAATACTCATATTACTTTGGTTTTTTTAACACTTATAACTTCAATTAGTATCAATATCATCAGAAGTGTCATG